AAAAGATAGTGTTTTCAACAAATGGTACTAGAACACCTAGTATCTGTAAGTAAAAAATTAAAGAAGGTTGTTTTCTTTTAGGGCTTGAAAGATTTCAGGTCTGCTGTGATTCTGATGGGTTTTCCTTTATAAGTGATTTGTTTCTTTTCTCTAACAGCTTTTAATATGTCTTTGTGCTTATTTTCTGGAATCTTGACTATTATATGCTTTGGTGTAGGTTTTTTTTTCTGATCATGGCTAATTGGAGTTCTATATGTCTCACTTATCTGTATATCAGATTCCATGCTTGAGAAGTTTTCTGCTTGTGAACAGGTTCTTTATGTCCTTTATGCTGTCTTGTGATTTTTCATTGATTCCAGTTAATCTTATGTTGTTCTTTGCACCATCTAGAAGTTGTTGGATTGATTTTTCATGGTCCCTTGCCATTTTTAAGAAGTCTTTCATTTGATGAGCACCAACCACAACCCTGTCTTCTAGGTCTGATATTCTATTTCCACACCAGTTGATTCTGCTGTGTATACTTTCGATAGTTTTTTTTTTTTTTTTTTTGCTACTGGGGATTGAACTCAGGACCTTGCACTTTCGAGGCAGGCAGCAGAACCAGGGAGCTAAATCCCTAGCCCTTGATAGAATTTTTTTTTTTTTTGGTACCAGGGATTGAATTCGTGTCCTTGTGCTTGAGCAGCAGGCGGCAAAACCACTGAGCTAAACCACTGAGCTAAATCCCCGGCCCCCTTGATAGAATTTTTAATGTCCTGGATATCTGTTTGAATCTGGGTGTTTTTTGTTTGTTTTTGGGATTTTGTTTTGTTTTGTTGTTTCTGAGACAGAGTCTCACTGTGTAGCTCCAGCTAGCCATGAACTTGGAGCAGTCATCTCCTGCCTCTGCCTCTTGGGTGCTGGGATTACTGGCATGCACCACCATACCCAGCTTGAATCTATTTTATGGAATCCACTTCTTTCCTATGTTGGTCATTCAGGTTTTCATCACTTTCCTAAACTCTTCTATTTTTTTTTTAATCTGTATCTACTCTAGATTTACTATGTCCTTCATTATGGTTCATCATCTCTTTAGTTATCTGTGTAATTATTTCTGATTTTTTTTTAGAGACTCATGCGTCTGTTTTGTTACTTCCACTGCTACCATTTCAGAGTTCAGCTGGGCGGCTTTTTATTTCTTCCACCTCAATGCTTCCTAGATTTGCCTTGGGTGAGCTAGACGTCTGGGGTTGCATCTTGCTTCCATGTTTTCTCATTTTCTTTTTTTGTTATTCTTATTTATTTGTTTTCTGCATTGATGTTTGTAAATTGCCTATAGTAGCTAGCTTTATTGCTAATATAGAGACCTCTTTAGGAAATGATTACTTTTCAGAGCTGTCTTCTAGCTGTAACTGGCTCTTGGCCTTTGAGTCTGTCCCAGGGTCCTGCCTCTTCTGTTTATTTGGGATGAGCAGTTGTAGCCTGTTTGACCCAGCACCCAGTTCTTTGGTACTGTACTGTAGGATTGTTTATGTCCCACAGACAATGTAGGTATTGGCATACAAGGAATAATATACAAAGTGATAACCTTGGCTAAAGTAGTACAATCAGCAATAACAATAGCATCAAACACAGACTGGAAATGAAAATTGATAACTAACAATTTGCCACTTTTAACCATATGTACAAGATTTATAGTTATATAAAAAAAACTAAGACAAGTCAGAAAATTATATACAGTAAACATCCACTCAATAAAGAAGTTTTACCCTGAGGGGACAAAGTTAAAAGGAAGAAGGGGAAAAATAGAGAAATAAAAGAAGAAAAAGGGATTAGAAGCAAAGCTAAAGAACAGAGGAAGATTACCCAAGCTTCAGGAAACTAGTGAAGAAGACAGAAGGGAAGGAAAGCATGAAAAAACAAAAACAGGGATGAAACAAAACAAAAACACTACAAACAGTATTCACCCTCACAAAGAAATAAAAACAATCAAAGAAAAAAGAAACTCCAAGTGAGCAAAAACAAATAACAACAACACAAACCCAAAAGCAAAGAAAAAACAAAAAGCAAAGAAAGCTAGGCATGGTGGCGCATGCCTGTAATCCCAGCAATGCTGAGGCAGGAGGATTGCTGTGAGTTCAAGACCAGCTTGGGCTACATAGTGAGTTCCAGGCCAGTCTGAACTACACCATGATACTCTGTTGCAAAACAAACAAACAAACAAGCAAAGGAAAAAATGAAAGAAGTTTCTCTGTGATTTCAAGCTTGTGGTTATCTTTTGGGGTCTATAGGGTTGTGGCAGTGTCCAATTCAAGGTGTGACTCTGCTCTTGACAAAGGAGGCTATCAGAGCCCAGATCTGTGCTGGATAATCCCAGCAAATTGGCAGTAGGATTAGGGTGCAGTGTTGGATAATCTCAGTAAATTGCCAGTAAGATTAGGGAATGGTATTGGTTCTGGGACTTTCAAATCCACAGAAATTTAGGCTGAAACTGACATCTGGTTTTGCAGTTGGGGCCTGAGTCATTTAGTTTATAACCCTCTGGGTGTCACTTGCTAGCCCCCTGTGGTTCCGTGTCTGTGGATGAGTCCTGTGATCATCCCTTACCCATTCATTGTGGTAGTTTAACCCTGGGAACCTTGAGATGAAGCTGATCGAGGTTGTTCTGAGTCCTGGACTTAGTGGGCCTCTTCCTGAAATGGTGCCTGACCAAGCACTCTCCAGGGAACATGGCAGTCACTTGGACAGGAGTCACTCACCAGCTGTTGTAGCATACACCATCCACTGCTCTGTTCCACTGATGCATTTCTCCCTGAAGGCCCCTGGAATTGCCTGTTTTCACTGTGTCTCTGTAGATTCAATCTTCCTTTCTCATGCCTTGAGCCAGCAGCCAGAGAGAAAGTCCAGATTGCTTCTTCCTTTTTCTTCATTGTGGTCTGTCTCTTCAATGTCTCTGTAGACTCCAATTTCCCTTTCAGGTCCTTCCTCAGTCCCAGGGATCCACCTCTCTCCCTTCCTTCCTCAAGTTGTTTTCCAATGTCTGTATCGCAAATTCTGGAGAGGCTGATTTGTTGCTGCTTCCAGCTCTTCCACAGTCCCAGAAGTTCATGGTTGATCTTTGTCTCAGTTCTGGTTCTGTGAGGTGACTCTGAAGAAGTCATTATCACTTGATGGGTAATGCAGTCCTCATGAGATAACAGCCCTGCTTACTGGGCAGCCTCCATTTCTGTCATGGAGCAATTGCTCCCTTTAGGGGGACAGTCTCATCCTGGGGCAATCTATCTGCTTTTCCTTGAATCCAAGGATACTTAAGCTTTAGAATAATGACTGGAGACCTCCAGGAACCACTCAAAGAGGTCTGGAATAGGACTTTGTAAAAGCTGGCAGTTGAATGTCCCTGCAAATCTTGAGACTACTTTAGTTATTCTTGGTGTCTTTAATCAGGAAGTTATAAAATAGGCTAGGTAAATTTAAAGCTTGTATTGCCAGTTTTTAGAGACACTCCTTAAGTGATTAACATGCCTACATGAAGAGTTGAGGAGGAATCTTACCCAAAGTTGTAGGTCATAAAAGAGACAGGTGAAAATGAAGGTTCCAAACTTTATCCTGCTTTTAGTTAACCACAGGAGAGCTGTAGGACCAAGTGAAGAGTCTGTGCTTTTTAGCAAGAGCAACCTTTAAGCCCCTAACTGAGCACTTGGCTTCCCCAGGGCCATGAGCATCATTTTTAAGCTCACTTCTCTCTGTGGTCTGTCTACATTGGCAGATTATTTAAAGAGCCTGTGTTTGTAAAATCACCTGCATGCAGCACGTGTTCACAGGAGCCTGTGACTACCAGGACAAGTTTGCTAGTCTAACTGCTTTGCTGCCATAGCAATTGTGGATCTTTCAATCATGATTTTTTCAAAAGGTTATATTTTTAGAGGAAACAATTTTTTGTGGGATTTGCATAAAAATAGTACAAGAGGGAAAACAAAATTGACCAGAAGTTGAAGTGGGGTAAAGTGATTGTGGGAGTTCATTTTGTAAACTTTAAAGTGTAGAAATCATTCTCAGAGGTCTTTCAAAAATGCAGACTCTAATTCAGAAGCACTAGATGGAGTCTGGGAATCTTCCTTTAGGGCCAGGTGACAGACATTGTTGGGCTGTGGGCCACACTTTTATGAGCAAGACATTAAGTCATCTTATTCATTCATTTGTATTTATGGAGCATTATGTCCCTGGAATGTTCCAGATTCTACTGTGCCAAAGATCTTGTAGCCAAGAAGGGAAGAAAAGATAAACACACCAATAACTTGTATACCACGAACAATATGAGAATTACAGGGGACTTCAGGGCACATGGGGTGGGATTTCTGCATGGGGAAAGGGTGTTCCTATCAGATTGGCCCAGAAAGTGGGCCAGAGGTGGGTTTGCAGGACAGTTGAGAAGCCTTTCCATGCACTCATGTACCCACGTGCCCTCTTGGCAGCGGTGAGTCTGGGGCTGGGAAGACGGAGACCACCAAGCTCATCCTGCAGTTCCTAGCCACTGTCAGTGGCCAGCATTCATGGATTGAACAGCAGGTCCTGGAGGCCAATCCCATATTGGAAGGTAAGTGGTAACTCTGGGGATGTGCCCTCCCCACCACCTGTTTTTTTTTTTTTGGTACTGGGGTTCGAACTCAGGACCTTGCACTTGCGAGGCAGGCGGCGGCACCACTGAGCTAAATCCTGGCCCCCCACTACCTCTTGATAGGGGCCTTCCTGTAGGAAGTGGCCATTGAGAGGGACAGGATAAATCACAGACCTGCAAGCAAGGAGGGTGGTGGACAGGAGTATGGGGCTCCCAGGAAGCATGCGGGAGACCGACCAACTGATGATTTTATAAGCTTTCACTGTGTGTTTGCCACAGAATGTAAGAAGCTTTCCTCTTAAAAGGGGCTCTGAGATAAGATCAAATTGGGAAACACTGGTCGTGCTCATTCAGGTCCCCTGAGAAGTGGTTCCTGAGCTATGTACAATTAGGACTGCAAGGGGCTTATTGATGGGATGATCTTTGCAGAAGAAGCTAAAGGAGGAGGAAGCAGTAATGGGCAGGGCAAGACTTCAGACTGGGATGCTGATTGGACACTTCTGAGAGGACACTTCAGGGGAAGAAGAAGTAGGCAGGGGAGATTCTAACTGGAAGCCTCACGTTTGGTTTGCTATTCAGCTTTGCTATCTTGTAATTCTTCCTAACACAGTTGCATTTTGTGGTGGGCCTGCAATCTTGGCCAACCCGGTGATGGGCTCTAGATCACCCTACCCCTCTGAGGAGTCCTACATAGCTCCGCATGTCTGCGGTTCAGTTCCTGGTGGGGATGGCCGATAAACTCATGACCTTATTCCTGAGCCTGTCAGCTGTTGGTCAGCACAATCTCTCTTGTTTCTTTATGAATGAGATATGCTTTATGTACAATAAAAACTTACCTTTTCTGTGTAGTCCTATAATTCCCCATCATAATTATGAAATAGGATGTCTTCATCTCCAATAACTTTCCTCAGGTCCCTTTGTAGTGAACCCATCGTCCCAATCCCAGGGCCTGGCAACTATTGATTTGTCTCCCCACCCCCTTAAGTTCTGTCTGTTTCAGAATCAGAATCATTGAGTCAGTAGCCTTTGCATCTGGCTACTTTCATTAGTGGAATTCACTTGGGATTCTTCCATGCTATTGTCCATATCCTCAACTCATTCCTTTCTAAAGCTGAGCAGAATTCCCTTATGTGGAGATACCATAGTTCATCTATTCACCAACTGAAGGACATCTGGCTGGTCTATAGTTCTTAGCAATGGTGAATAGAGCCTTTATAAACAGTTGTTTACATAGATTTTTGTGTGGACACATTTTTTTTCTCTTGGATAAATATTCAGGAGTGAAATTGCTGGCTCAATGGTGAGTGAGCCATTGAGCTTGGTCAGAAACTGTGGAGGTTTCCAGAGTTGCCGTCCCATTTTGCATTCCCACCTGAAGAGGATGAGCATACTTGTTCTGGCCTGGCTGGCACCTGACGCTGTCCAGGCTATTGGACGATAACTGGATCGATGTCCTTATGACTATGTGGCCAGGTGCAATTTGAAAGTCCTTGGCAGAAGTGCTAGTCACAGGTGTAGGTTGGTAAGACCCTTCAGGGGTTCTTATAACAGTGCTCATTATAGGCCTATGTGTACAAGAGCCCTCCCTTCATGTTCTGGCTTCATTAATTATTTGGTTAGGGTTTGACACGAGTGACATCATTTTGATTCTGACAACTTTCACAGCACACAGAGACATAATGTAAAATCTTTCTTACTGTGAGTCATATTAGAAAAGCCTTCGGCAATAGCTCTGCAAGAGGCACTTTGGATCATGCTACAACCCAGACACCTCCCACTCTGACCACCTCACCCACTTGCTGGCTGTGCCAGCTCTTGTTGCTCCTGAGCAAGCTCACTCTCTTCATCCCAATCTCAACCTGCAGCCTGGGCCTCTCTCTAAAGTCCAGATCAGCTCCCTTGATCTGCCTTCCTGCTTCCCTCAGCACCTGCAGAATGAATACCCAGTTCCTGATCCTGTTGGGAATATGCCCCCAGACTCAATTTGTTGATGCTGATGATAAAGCACTCAGACAACAAAACATCTTGACAAGGTCAGGTTGTTTTACTTCTGCAAAAGGGCGAGAGTACACTCTAGCATGAGGTAGCAGGTGCCCAGAGATGCAACAGAAGGTTCTTTTTATTTCCTAACACATGAGAAGCAGCTGACTTTCTCCCCATTGACTGGTCTGAAATTCACAGTCTATCCTCATTGGCTAGTTTAAGTGGCGTGAGGGGAGGGGAGAGTGGGGTATGGGGAACTGAAACCCTTGGCTGTTGATAAACTATCTTTGGTGGTCAGTAGTGTTCCCAGTATCTAAGCTGAGCAGACATTTCCTTAACCCTGGGGTAAGGGGCATAAGGGGTGGTGACCTGCCCTCATGTCGACTAGAGTTTAAGGTGGAGGTGCTCCTGTTTATATCCTTTGGTAGAAAATCCATGATTTCTCACAATCCTGGCATTCAGGTCTTGGTGCCAGCTGCTCTCTGCCACTGACCAGCTCTGTCCACCTCCTGTCTCCTGTCCCACACTGGTTCAGTTTCTACCCCATAACCCCCCACCCCGACCTCCAAGCTTGTCCAACACTTTTCCTTCTTCTCAGTATCCCCCAGGCTGCCTTTGCTAACCAGGACAATCTGTCCCATCCTTCTGTTCTGCACTCGCTCCTGCTCTGTGAGACCTACCTGATGATCCCTCTAAAAGTGAGTTTTCTCCTCTGTTGTTATTATGGGCCTTGCCCACTCACTCAGCCTTTGGAAATGCCAAGACGGTCCACAATGACAACTCCAGCCGCTTCGGGAAGTACATCGACATCTACATCAACCCCAGTGGTGTGATTGAGGGCGCACGGATCGAGCAGTTCCTCCTGGAGAAGTCCCGGGTCTGCCACCAGGTGAGGCCTGGCAGCCCAGGGAGGCTCCTGAGAGCCAGTGTCCCCTGCCTCACCCTCTCCTCCTTCTACCCTGGGGACCTCCTTGGTTTTCCAGCAAAGGATTTGCTCAGTTTCGAATTTTCATCCATTTAATTTTCATTATTCTTTAGTGCATACCTTGCCTCACCTTTGTTAGAATTAATTTGGAGGCTGGGCCATTCCGACACATCTGGATGGAGGTGGTCGTCACTCTGTGAGGCTGTAGTCCCTAACATGGGTATGCACAGGAGCAAAAAGGCCAACAGGGGGCCTGGCTGTTGGTGAGGAGCGCTCCTCACAAGCTGGGCATGCTGGAGAAGGACGTTCACATCAGTGGCCGCCCTACCCTGTCCCAGGCCAGGCAGCTCTCATTTGGCCTTCACAACAGCTGGGAGAGCTGGGTCTCCCCACCTGCCATGCCCCAGTGTATAGATGCAGAAATGAGTGCCAGGGCTGTACGTGGCAGAGTCTCCCTGACACCAGGCCTTGTCCTTCCCAGAAGCCCACACTTCTGGTAGAATTTATCACCCAGAGAGGTACCCAAGAATGGATAGGAAGCACCTAAGCAGATTAGAGACAAGCCTTGTCCACGATAAGAAAAAGATTAGAAAACTTTGGCATGGACTAGGGGTGTAGCTCAGTGGTAGACCATGTGCTCTGGGTTTGATCTCCAGAAACACACACACACACACACACACACACACACACACACACACACACATTAAGGCATATTTATATTGCGGGATGCTGAGTAGAATTCAAAAAGAGGGGTCTGTATATGTCAATGTGTAGAGATCACCCAAAATCAGATGAATAGAGCCTGGGCTACATAGTGAGACCCTGTCTCAAAATTTAAAAAAAAAAAAAAGGGATGAGGATGTAGCTCAGCAGTACAGTTTAAAAAACAAAGACTCCGTTGCCCTATGAAAGCCCATGGCTGTCAGATCTCCATGGGGTCACTAACTTACTGCAAAGCATGTGGCATTGTGAGTCAGAGAGCCCCATGTGGCTTTGGGCAGCTTCAGCGCTGGGAGGGCCACTCAAGAGGCAAGAAACAAGGTACAGAATGAACCTGCCCAGAACAAGGATAGCAGCCAGGCCAGGCCTCCCTTGGGTCAATGCCAGAGCCACACCTGGAGGGGAGACCTTAAAGGTAAACCTGGGCTGGTGCTGGGGCTCAGGGCCTGCAAGGGATTGGCTTATGTGTCTCAGACACCCTCTCTCCCAGGCCCTGGAGGAACGAAACTACCACATCTTCTACTGCATGCTCATGGGGATGAGTGAGGCAGAGAAGAAGCTGTTGGACTTGGGGACACCCTCCGAGTACCACTACCTGACCATGGTGAGCCCCCCGCCCCATCTACTCCTCAACTATGAGCAGAGAGAGGAAACAGGCCAGTGCCTGCTCAGACATTCCCGACTCTAGTGGGCCTCTGAGGCAGGGCTAAGGGTCCACTTTCCCTTCTGCTCCAGCTCCTTTTGTATTTGGAATCTTTGTGCCTACCAGGGGCCTCCTCCTTCCTTTGTGGTGAGTTTACCCTGGGTTCCCAGTGGTCCTCCCGACACACCTCATCTTCCTTTTTCCCCTCTGGACTGACTGACAGAGGGCTCCTAGGAGCTGGGTCTCAGGCAGTCATCCACATGCCTCCTGCATCTGTCCTGGCAGGTGCCCCAAGGCATATGGCTCTAGGAAAGCTAGGGCCTTCCTGTCCCTGCCTCTGGGACAGGATGGCACAGGGAGCCACATGCTCACAGTGGCTGACAAGAGAGTAAAAAGTCTTACCCTGTAGGTCTCTGTCCAGTGGTCACTGCCACAAACCTTCCTCAGCCCTTGCCTGGACTGTGGTGGTGCTTTCCTCAGGGCTCCCCTGTTGCCATCCCTGACAGCCAAAGGACAACTCTGATGACCTCCCATCTCTCAGTAGAAGTCCAAGCTCCTCAGTTCCCGGGTCCCTCCCAGGACCCTTCCCTCTGACACCACTCCCATCCAATTCTGACTCCAGCCCCTTGCACCCTTGCTCCCACCATTATCCACCCCATGTAGCTGTGAGGATTAGTGTGCAAGGCCAGCTGAGGCACCTGTCATAGCCTGGGATATTGTTACTTGCCTCCTGCTGGCTCCTGTTGGATGTGCAAAGCCTGGAGCAGGTCTGGGCTCACTGAGACCGAGTTTCCAGTCGGTAATCCAGGTCCTGGCCTGTGGTGATCTGTGGGAAGTGTTTGTCAGAGGAACAAGCCTGCAGCATTCCCTGGAGACAGACAAGGCAGGTTTAAGCATGGATGGATGACCCACAGAGGCTCAGCGAGGTCACGCGGTGGCCAAGTGCTGCTGCTGGTGGCCCAGGCATACTATGTCATGGTGCCATGGCTCTGCCTTGGAAGGACTCCTTTTTCTGGGCTTCCACTTGGCTGTGGCCTTTCGGGGTCCACCTAGAGCCGGTGAAGAGTGATTTCCCAGAGACCTTAGCTGAGTCCTTCGGGGTCTTAGCTTTTCTGGCCCTGATGAAGTAGGGGGGACTGGGGTAACCCTGTTACCTGAAGTGCTCTGTTTTACAGGGAAACTGCACAACTGTCAAGGGGCTCAATGATACCATGGACTATGCTCACATCCGCTCAGCCATGAAGATCCTCCTGTTCTCCGACTCCGAGAACTGGGACATCAGCAAATTGCTGGCAGCCATTCTCCACCTGGGAAACATAGAGTTTATGGGTAATGCTACTTCTGTCCTCGCTACATCCAAGGAGAAAGAGTGGGGGACTGGGACATCAGGAGGAAGAAGTCTCTGGGGGTTCACACTGGCCCAAGGGTCATGTGGCCCAACCTGGTCCTGGGAAATTATATCTGAAAAATGAAGCTATAATTTTGGAGGCCACATGGCAAGGGAAAGATATCAAAGTTTAGAGCCCTAGAAAAGTGAAGAGTCAAGTCAGTCACCCCCTTCTTTTTGCCAGGAGCCCAAAGTGCTATGCCTTCAGTTTCAAAGTGAACCAGAGTAAACAATATATGTACAAACTGTGAAAGTCCCCAAGCACCTGATGGAATTACTGGCAATAATGAGGAAGGCACCTGCAACCTAGATTCTTAATGATTCCTTCCAATAATTTTTCAAACACAATGTCTAGCATGCAGCCAAAAATAAATAGGAACAGGAGAATAAGGTATCATGAGCAAGAACCATCAGAAATGCTAAACAATAGAAATAGATCCACAAAAGTTTTAGGTATTGGAATTATTGGATACAGGTCACAGAATATCTCTGCTTGCTGTGTTCCAGAAAAGAAAAGGCCATGCTGGAAAATGTAGACAGGGAACTGAAAACTCTAAAAAGTGGCATTAAGCCTGGGATTTAGCTCAGTGGTTCTACTGCCTGCCTCACAAGTGCAAGGTCCCGAGTTCAATCTCCAGTACCAAATAAATAAAAATAAAAAGTGTCATTACATGTTTTAAAAGGAACTACATACAAATGCTAACATTAAAAAAACTAAGAACTCATTGGAAAGGTTTAGCACCTGAGGGAATGTGTGAGCTTGAGGAAGTCACAAGAAACTAGGGAGAGGCAAAAAGAAGGCAAATAGAAAAGAGAAGGGAGGAAACCTACAGGATGCAGTGAGAAGATGAAGCAAAGCTCTCATTGGAGTTCTAATGGAAAAGAAAGGCAGTGTTTGGAGAGATTGTGGCTTGTTCTAGACAGCAACTCACAGAGCACTGGGGAAAGACAGATTTTTCAGGAAACTGATTTGGACTGGAGGATATCCATATGGAAAACAGGAGCTTGGGCCACGACCTCACATCATATGGGAACACTGACTCCAGGTGAAGGGAGAGAGGGCTACCATCATCTATCAGCCAAACCCAGCTCTCCTGCGATGCTGACCAGAGGGTCGCTGAGCAGGAAGAGTATCAGAAACTGATCTCGAGGAAGTGACCGAGCACAGGAGAACGCAGGCAGTGAGGTCACATGAAACATAACACTTAGCACAGGTAGAACTAAATGGTAGAGGGGACTATGTTTTTCCACAAAAGCTGAAAAATGTGGGTCACCTCTAGGGGAAGGAACACTGTCTTCACAAGAAAAGACAGCAGAGGGCTTTGGTGCTGCCAAGTTCTATTTGGCTTTACTGTTACATGATGTTGACTTTATTTTTCACAGCACACCTTTGTGTTCAAGGCACTTTTTTATCTGTATGTTTTATCTTACAATTTTTTAAGTTTAAAAAAGAACAATAAACCACACCTGTATCCTTCCCATCCTGGAAGTCCTAAGGTGGATGCTGGCTCAAAGAGGAGGACATGGCAGTGGAGAGGTGGTCAGAGAATATTCATTCGACTGAATGAACAAACTAATGCCCAGGTTTCTATGAACAGTGGAGGGGGTGAGGGGGCTGGTGCTCATCTCATGTAACAGATCCTGTTGGCCCTGCCAGCCCCATGCCTACTGGGCATCCTAGTTCAGTCCTCTCCCTCCAGATGAGCCCGAGGTTCCTCCAGCTTCCCTTTGACCCAGAGCCCTGAGCTCACCAGGCAGAGGAAGCCGTAGTCTGTGCCACTCATGCACAGCTGAGGTTCTCGTGATGAGCAGTCACAGGGAACATTCACACCTCCATGAAGAGGTCGGGGAATGAAGAGGCCATGGCTCACTCCCAGGGATAGTTCCTGCTGAGATGTAGATTAGGGGCTGCCACAGGCCTCAGCCTTCCAGGGTTCCTGCTCAGGGTTGCTGCTCCTCTTTCTAGCTGCCATCTTTGAGAACCTGGACTCCTCTGAAGTGATGGAGACACCCACCTTTCCCATCGTGGTGAAGTTGCTGGAGGTAGTAAGCCGTCGTGTCTGCTAGCTCTCTCTTGGTTTTTGTTTGTTTGCTTCCTTGTTCTTGCAGTACTGAGGTCTTTACACTGAGTTACATCCCCAACCTGTTTTTATTTTAAAATTTTGAAACAGAGTCTCACTAAATTGCTCAGGCTGGGCTTGAATTTGTGATCCTCCTGCTTCAACTTCCTAGGATTACAGGCGTGTACCACACACTCAGCTTCGCCATTTTTGTGAGAAGCACTGGGGGCCTGAGTTAATAGATCCTGGCCTTGTGATCTTGCCCAGGCCCCCATCTCAGCCTCCCCTTGCTCTCCTCGGTTGTCACTCTGCCTCTGTGCCCTTCTGCACACTACAGGACCTGGAGGGAAGCACTGTGAGCTGATCATTAACACAGCAGTGTAGCTATACTGAGTGCTTCTTCCCTGTTCCCGTGCCCTCTCTTGTCCCTCAGTGTCCCTACGCTCAGCACCTCACTCTACCCCATCAAGTCCTTCAGCTTCCTGCCCCACCGTGTGTCCTTGTCCCCCAGGACTTCTCTGTAAGTTGTGCTTCTCTAGGAAAGTGGCCTGTGCCAATGTTTCTGGTTCATTCCATCAGCCATCCACATCCCTGGGAGGGAGGGCAGCAGCTCTGGGTGGAGACATTTGCCCTACGGATAGTTTTCTGAGAAATTAATAGAACCAGAAGCAAAACCACAAGCATATTTTACTGTTAATGTTCATTTGGTTAAGTGTACTGTCTTAGTCCATCTTTGTTGCTATAACACAATACTTGATTCTGGGTAACTTACAGAGAACAGTGGGTTATTAAGCTCACAGTTCTGGAGGCTGAAAGAACAAGGACACGGCTCCAGAGTCTGCTTGGGTCTGACAAGGGCCTTCCCACTACATTAAAGCATGGTAGAGGCATCAGACATCCACATAGAGCAACTGTACCAGAGAGCTGCTTTGGTAGTAAAACCACTTCCTAGAGAACCCAGTGACCTGGTCACCTGAGTCCATTTCTGAGGGTAGAGCCCTCATGCTTCCCCAAGCCCCACCTTCAAATACTGTAAACATATGAGTTTGGGGAGTGAGTTTCCATCACAGGAACTTTTGGGGACACATTTACACCACCACAGGTACTCAGGAAGTTTGGGTTTTGCTGGCTTAGTCTTCCCCTCCTGGTGGGGAGGGCCTGGCCCATCAGACTCCTCTTGGTCCTTAGGTCTTCAGCCTCCAGTGGGGGTGATTTGGGTTGGCCTCAGAGCCCTCCCTGTTCCAGCCAATTTCCTGGACCCTAGGGACCATGCTAGGCCCCACTGACCATTCACCCTTCCTGAGTGCTCTGTGCCCCAGCACTGCCAGGACCTGGCTATGTCCCCAACTCACCTGGCCCTGGTCAAAGGGCTACCCACCACCAGGTCCTAGGCATGGGTGTCTGGTCATAAGACACAGCAGGAACCTGCTCCACAGGCAGGTACAGCCCTACCTTCCTTCCAAGGTGGAGCACCAGCCACTCCGGGACTGTCTGATCAAGCACACCATCCTCATCCGAGGGGAGTATGTCACCAGGCCCCTGAACATCGGCCAGGCCTCTGACCGCAGGGACGCCTTTGTCAAGGTACTGGGCCTGCTTTCCACCCTGTTGGTATAGAGCAGGAAAGAAAAAACATGGGTGGGCAGGTCCAGCTCTGCCAGTCACCTACTGGTGTCCAAGATTCCCATCCTCCCTGGTGTTGTTTTCTTGCCTTTAAAGCAGGAATAACATCCCTCAGTGAGTCTGTCATATCTGATTGGCAACCAGCCTTTCCGGGTGAAGTTGGAGAAAGGGCAGCTTCTCCTGTGCCTCAAAGCCCAAGGGCTTTACCCCATGTCTCCCAGGGCATCTATGGGCATCTCTTCCTATGGATCGTCAAGAAGATCAATGCTGCGGTCTTCACACCACCAGCCCAGGACCCCAAAATTGTGCGAAGAGCCATCGGCCTCCTGGATATATTTGGCTTTGAAAATTTCCAGAACAATAGGTATGAAGATCTCAGTCCACCTGCTTTCAGAAAATGGAAACACTGTGATTTCCCTCTAACTGAGCAAGCTGGAGGGAAGCCACCCCATCTCGCATCCTACCCACCCCCCTTGCTGCCAGACTAGGAGCTGGGGCCTGTCATTTTCACTCATGATGCCAGGCTGTGAGCCAGCAAGACAAGTCTTTCTGTATGAGATGCCTGTGTGCATCCCTCAGCACCTCCAGTGTGTCCAGGGGAGGCCATGTTGCTGAAAGCCAGCCCCCAGAGCCAGGCTGAAGCCCCAGCATTTGCCACCATTCTTTTTTTTTGGTACCAGGGATCGAACTCGGGTCCTTGCACCTGCACAGCAGGCGGTGAAACCACTGAGCTAAATCCCTGGCCCTTTGCCACCGTTCTTAAGCCATCAGCTCTCCTCATTAACCAGAGTGATTTATGACATGAGGTCAGGGTGGCAATGGGAATCCATAACATTGATTCCACTGGGGGCATTTGTAGCCACCATCCCTGACTTTGGAGTTTGGAGCGGGTAAGGTAAGGCAGGACGGCTCTGACCCAGTGTCCAGTGTGACTAGAAGCTGAAGAGCTGTGGCCAGAAGGCAGATGTGATTGTGACCAAGCTAGGAGTGGAGTAGACAAGGGGGAAGGACCAGACAGGGAAGCCAAACCTGGGCAGATGATGTCCTAGCATTATCAGGGCTTAGGTGGTCAAATGGGAAATGAGGGTTCTGGGACATACAGGCAGGAAGCACTCAGGATGTAGCCAGCTTGCCTGAGCCTGGTTCATTTAAAGGACTGGGCAAGACAGAGCCCAGCCCACTGGTTCCAAGAAGTCAAGGCCTCTGGCCACTGTCGAAAGAGCCAAAGGGATAACCTGACGTTGCCATGCCCCTGCCCAGGACCTATCTCCAGCCCAAAGTTGGCCTTAGGACATATTTAGATTCCCCCTATCCACCAGGGTCAATGAGTCAGAAGCCACTCTCAAGTGCAAACACACCAGGATCTCAGCCAGCTGGGCCAGCTAAGGGCAGGGAAGAGGCCTACTCACTATTGTCAGTGGGGAGGGAGCAGACCTAAGCCTTAATTGTGTGGAAACACAAAGGCAGAGTAGACTCAAGTGGTTTCTGCCCTAGGGGAAAGGGACAGGTAAGCAGACCAACCATATCTGTGGACACCTTAGATAAGGATGGGTGGTTCTAGGGATCAAGCCAAACGTGCAGGAACCCCTCCCTGATGAAAGGCCATCAGTGGTCAGCAGCTGTGATGAGGCTGCACCCTGGGGGTTTGGGCAGGAGGTGCTGTGGGGCACTGGGTCTCCATTTGGTTATGACTTCTGCAAGTGTTCAGGGAGCCCCTCCAAGCAGTGTGCTTGGCCCGGGGGACCTGGACCTGTTCCCTCATCCCCTGGGTTAACAGACATTGAACAAGCGGTTTCAGGAGCAATGAGGTCTTGCCCAAATAGGTGACCACCCTGAGGAGGAATCATAAAGAAAGAAAGCAGACTCTGGCAGGAAAGAACTTAGTAGTAGTAAAGAATGGGAGCACTCAGGATACAGCAAGAATTCCAGTCCAGATACAGGACCTGCCAGATTCCTGTGCTACCAAGTTCGAATCCCAGCCCCGCTGGTGGACCACTAAGATCTGAGGCTTGGATCCCCAGGTGGTCATGGTGAACTCATCCTAGAAGCTGTTGAACAACACATTCCAGCCTTGTACTTGGTGGCTGTAGCAATTGACTTCTCCTTGTTGGACAAAATATCTGACACCCACAACTTAAGAGAAGTTTGTTTGGCTCCCTGTTTCAAAGGGTTTCAGTCTGTGATTGGCTGGTCCAAGGCAGAAATGGCAAGGTGGAAGGACCCGAGGAGGCTCAAGCCATAGAAACCAGGAAGCAGAAAGAAAGCAAGAGAACCAGAGGAAGAGAAAGGCCTAGGGGATAAAAATGCATCCTCCAGGCCACATTCCCAGTGACCCACCTTCTCCAACCAGGGCCACCTCACCGCACATTCAGTCACACACTCATGAATGGATTTATCCATTGATGAGCATAGCACCCCCAGGACCCAATTACCTTCCAAAAACCCCACTTCTGAATATGTGGTGCTTTTGGGGGACATTTTAAATCTAAACCATAACAGTGGGCTAACAGGAAGTCAACTTCACTCAGAAACTACCGAGTTATTCTCATGGCTAGCATCATCATTTTGTAATATTATTCAGTGGGGGACCTACTGAAGAAGCACGTACCAGCAACAACGGTGACAGGCTAAGCTAGCCCTGTATCATAATCTTAGACAAAACATTTCTTAACTGATAACCGTCTGTGCGCAGAGCTGAGCACAATCTGACTCAAGGGTTGAGACTGCAAAGGGGACAGACACAGTATGAAGACAGAGATGCCACAGCTTTTACCCCATTCTCGTCCCCCATCCGACATCTGTGGGCCCAAGTGAACAGTCAGGGTACCCAGCAAAAGTGGCCTTCAGACTCCTGGGAAGTAACCCGGGCAACCATTACCATAACCCACACGTCAGAGCGTTATCTGCAGCAAAGCTTGTAATGCCCAGTTGTGTGACCTCCAGAATTAGTGGTTTTAAGTTGACCGAGAGCAAGTGAAGCTAGAGGGATTGTTTAGGTTTTCTACTTGGTAACAATTTCTCATTTCATCTGCATCTGTGCTTTTAGCAGAGTCTCATGACTGCCCTGTTGAAATATCCCATGTTAGGGGCCGGGGATTTAGCTCAGTGGTTCTACCACCTGCCTCAAAAGTGCAAGGTCCCAAGTTTGATCCCCAGTACCAAAAAAAAAAAAAAAAAAAAAAGAATTCCAGTCCAGCCAGAGTGGTCCCAGGGAGACTGGAGAGGTGGCTGAGGGTGCTTTCCACTGTGGTCACTTTCCAGATCCTGAAAACAGTGGGAAGTGGGAGGATTTGAAGCACAGGGCAAGATCAGATGTGCACGTCTGAAAATGCTGATGATGTAGGGAGAGCCAAGACAAGGCTGCCACTGCGCTCCAGGTGAGCAGTGAAGCTGGCCAGGACTAAGTTAGCAGCAGTGGGGACAAAAAGGAACAGATGGAGGTGCTGTGTTGGAGACAGTATGGACCAACTTTGGCCAGCAGTAGGTATAGAGGCAGAGGACAGAGTCAAGCATGACTCCTTGTTTTCTGATTTGGGCCAGGGTGGTGAGTAGAGACCATTTCTCAAAGCAGGGAACCCAGGAGGAAGATCAGGCTGGAGGGTTGGTGGGCTTGAAGATAGGGAGTACGTCTGGTTGACCCAGAGGGACTGGGCAGACATTACTGGGTCTCTGGAAGCTCGTCTCAATACCAAGTCCACTGTCCTGTGGGGCAGGGTCTTCCTGCATCCACTTGGCCCAATGCAGAGTCTCAGTGTCAGGATAGGGCAGCTCCACGTATGTAAGGGTGTGCATCTGTGTGCACGTGGCTGTATGCGGACAGTGGTGAGTGCAGGGCTCCCACCAGCTGTGGTGGGGACCTAGCTGTACCCACCCCACCCTGGATGGTGGTGTTGTCTCCACAGCTTTGAGCAGCTCTGCATCAACCTCGCCAATGAGCACCTGCAGCAGTTCTTTGTGCAGCATGTATTCACTATGGAGCAGGAGGAGTACCGCTCGGAGAACCTCACCTGGGACTACATCCACTACACCAATAACCAGCCCACCCTGGATCTGCTGGCTCTCAAGCCCATGAGTGTCATCTCCCTCCTAGATGAAGAGAGCCGCTTCCCAAAGGTGTGTGTCTGACCTTCTACTGGAGCCCCTGCTCATGGGTCTCCTCTCTGAGACCCAGAAATGGCATTGGGGTGGCCCACTTGTTCCCAGAGATGCTGAACTCTCCAGGAGGAATAATCACATGAGCCCTAGCCTAACCAGATCCTCCTCTCCTTCAATGTCCACTTCAGCCCACTTCCTGCAGTAAGGCTTCCCTAACTATTGGGCTCCTGGACAGCTGTTCAGAGAGTAGAGCAGGAGAGGTGGAAGTGAGGGGTGGCAAACTTAGCTTCTGTTCCCAGCTACACTATCACTCAGTGTGACATATCCAGATGAGGGTTAGAGTCTATCTGTTGGGAGCCATCAGTCACTTGAGTCCAGCTTGCTTTGTCCCTGTGGGGGAGCCCCTGAGCCCTGTGGGTAGGCCACCTGAGCCCGTGGCTGGACTCTTGGACCTCAGCCCACAGAGCATCCCTGTTTTTCCAGGGGACAGATCTCACCATGCTGCAAAAACTGAACAATGTCCATACCAACAACAAGGCTTTCCTGAAACCCAAGAGCATCCATGATGCCAGATTTGGCATTGCCCACTTTGCTGGTGAGGTGTACTACCAGACGAAAGGTGAGTACAGCTTCCCTCATGTCCTGCCATATCTGGAATGGGCTCCAGGAAGACCATGGAAAGAAGCTTAGAGGACAGATTATTTTGCAAGTCTAGTAATGGGATGGTAAGATAAGTAGTATGGCTTTTACTGGAGAAAGGAAATGGAATGGGCCAGGCATCTGTTTTTATAATCAATCTACTGAGTATAGTTCACATACCATATTATTCACCTATTTCAAATGGACCACTCAGTGGTGTTAGTATATTCACAGAGCTGTGCAATCATTCCCACAAATTTAGAGCATTTTTATCACCCCGAGAAGAAACCAGCCATTAGCAATCACTGTCCAGTTCCTCCCAAACGTTAAGCAAGAAATAATTCCCACCTCTACAAATTTACCTATCTCAGATACTTCATATAATATGTGGCCTTTTGTAGCCAGTTGCTTTCATTTGTCATAATGTTTTCAAGGCTTGTCTATGTTGTAATTTATATCAGTATTTCAGCTCTTTTTATTGTGGAATAATAGTTTTTATATGGATAGACCATATTTTGTTTGTTCCTTCATCAATTGATGGCTATTTGGGTTGTTTCCACTTTTTTGGCTACTCTGCATAATGCAGCTACCAACATCCATATACAGGGTGATCATGAGGTGTCTCCTTCCTTATGGATGGGGGTGATGGCTTAGCTGGCCTGCTGGATGGGCTCTGTTGTCCCCACAGGCTTCCTGGAGAAGAACCGAGATGTGCTAAGCACAGATATCCTCACCCTCGTTCACTCCTCCAAAAACAAGTTCCTGAGGCAGATATTCAATCTGGAGTCGGCAGAAACCAAGCTGGGCCATGGCACCATCCGTCAGGCAAAGACAGGAAGCCAGCTCTTCAAGGTGTGCTCCAGTACCCTCCTTGGTCTCCTGGGTCTCTCACCCCCAAGGACCATAGGGACAGACAGATGTGTATGGGGAAAAAACATTTTGCTTACCAATTGGTCCCCAGCACACGGCCAGGTGCCTCTAAAATGGCTACTCAGGAGATCTGTACTGGATGAATGAATGAATGAATGAATGAATGCATGCACTTGGCACTGTGCAGGGGAGGAGGGGTGTTAGCTATGACCCAAGCCTCAGCTCCCCGCCCCCTCTCAGGCCCAGTGTTCCCATTAGCAGTCTACAGACTCTGCCAAGCAGTCCCCGACCTTGGCAGGCCAGTTCAAGCAGTCACTGGAGCAGCTGATGAAAATCCTGACCAGATGCCAGCCCTGCTTCGTCCGCTGCATTAAACCCAATGAGTATAAGAAGCCCCTGGTAAGGAGAAGGGAGGGGATAAGGGGGGAGGGGGGAGTCTGAAACATTTAGGGCTATGACTGCTCCTTCACCAGTCCTGGCTGGCCTTAGAGATGCTATGTGCCCCACATTTGACTGCAAGTCAATGACTTGCAAGTCTTTGGAGCACCCAGAGGTGTTCAGTTCTCTTAGCCCTGCTGTTCATCTGCTGTATGTACTTGGCCAGGTTCTGGACCTCTCTGAGCCTGATTTTTCTCTTCCATAAAGTCAGATTCACTCCGCCTGAGAGTCAGATGTAATATTGGGGCACTCAGTAGCAGCAGAAGCCAGTCCCAGGACTTCAGTCTGGTGCTGGGAGTGCAGTGGCTTTATCCGGATGTGTGTGGTAAGGGGTGGGAGCCCAGGAGTCCTTGATCCATGGGATCTTTCTGGAGGCTGCAGATACAGGGACTCCCCAAACTGGGAAATGCCATTTGGAGGAATAAAAGGTAATTTGAAAAAATCTTATAAAGGGATGAAAATAAATACTACATCAACTCTAGTGTCTTTCTCAAAAGATGAAATTATATGAAATTGGGACTATCCTACAAAAACTAGGATGTCCCTCCTTACAGATGAAATGGGCAGCTGTTAGACAACTTCTCCTATTCCTTAGCTGCTAGGTGAACTCCCTGTGCTTCCAGAGGCCCTCTGCCTACATCCATAGTGCCTGCCCCGGGAGCTCCAGGTCAGGCGGGCAGGCCTGGGGCTGAGGTACAGCTTTGTGGGTGTGCCTGACTGGGGCACCTCTCAGGAGGGACAGCTTCCTGCTGAGTGATGGGGAAGAGAAGCCTCTGCTGAGGGGCCAGACCCTGGCTTGGGTACTTATCCAGTGCCCCAATCACACGGGGCAGCTGTGAAGATCGAGTGAGAGCAGGAAATAATCAATTGCCACTATCTGCTTAGCCAAGGGTGACCACTATGTGCTTCAGACCCAATGAGTAGTTGGCTCTTGGCCTTAGGGCTTTGCGGGGTCTAGGACAAGGGGGACAGAACTGTTAGTGGGTTGGCTCAGCCAGAGGGAGTTTCCTCCAGAGCCCCAGTTTGAGGGGGCTCTCAGAGGCCCAGTAAGCCAGTCTGGGGACAGCTGACCCCCTAGGAAAGCATCATGCACACATTCTTCTGCTGGCCACACCAGCCCCTATATGGGGCAGCCCAACTCCCCAGGACCAGCTGCCCCCTCCAGCTGTCCAGTATCTGCCTTGGCGAAGGGGGATGTTAGCTTTTCATCGCTGTGACCAGATACCTGAGAAAAATAACTTAGAGGAGAAATCAGGGGTTTTAGTTCATGGTTGGTTGGCTCCATTGTTTTAAGGCCTGTGACAGAGGGCATGGCAGGGGAAAGCTGCTCAGCTTGTGGCACCCAGGAAGTGAAGCAAGGACAGAGCCAGAGAGAAAGGAGCCAGGGACCAGACAGAGCACCCAAGTTCACATCCCATGGTCCACTCCCTTCAGCCAGGCCACACCTATCACCTTCCAAAACCCCCTTCAGATTATGACCTCATCTTCAGATAAATCCACTGAGAAAGTTAGACCCCTTGTGATCCAATCACCTTCGAGATCCCCATCTCTAAACGCGTTGGGAGATATTTTAGATCTAAACCATAACATAATAAGCTGTCAAGAAGGGTCTCTGCCTCTAAGCAGTATTTCTTCATTGCTCTGCAGTGTGGGGCAGACCCCAGCCTGCTGCAAGCCAGGGATTGTGACAAGCATTTCCAAGAGGGCATATGCAGCTGTCTTTTCCATTCATTGTCCTTTGCATATCTTGAGACTGATGAAAGTGTGCCATTCTTATGGGCTCAGTAATCTATTGATTATCAACTTTTATCCTCCTGGAAACACTCTGAAGTCTTTTCAGCTACTTCCACTGTCTCTTTAAAAAATGCCATTTAATTTCAGTAAGGCATTTATTTAGTTCCTCCCATCTTTGGGGCACAGCCCAGTGGGTCCCAGGTCCACTGACCTCTCTGAATGTGGGCTCTGCTTCTCCACCTATAGCTCTTCAACCGGGAGCTATGCCTCCGGCAGCTGCGCTACTCAGGCATGATGGAGACCGTGCGAATCCGAAAGTCAGGCTTCCCAGTCCGCTACACGTTTGAGGAGTTCACACAGAGGTTCTGGGTGCTGCTGCCCACCACCCAGCGCACTCAGGTGTGTGTCCTGCACCTGCACCTCACCCTACCCAGTTCTCCCTGTTCTCTGGGCACCTCCAGCTCCCCAGTTCAAGGGACTCCTCCTACTGCCCTCCCGAGTGATGTTCACACACCCAGACCCCAGCCTTAACATGGCCCCGTCTGCCTCCCTCCGTCCTCGATGTTATCTCTCACCTGGCAGCATCTCTCAGTCTCTCCATGCTGTGATGAACAGCAGGGCGGACTCACAGTGGTGCCAGGGGTCAGGAGGCTGGGGGTTTTCCTCCACAGAGACATCTACAGTTTTACTGTGAACGGTTACGCTCTCCTGGCAGGGCGTCAAGGAGCTGGGATGTAAGGGTGGGGGGAGGTTGAGGCAGGAAGTCTTTCCTGGAGCCTTCGACCGTCCTAGGGTTTGGGCTGCTCTAAGGCGAGTGTTCCACAGCTGCACGGAAGCCCCAGCCCCAGCAAGGTGGCCTTAGAGCCCAAGCCTGGAGCGCTCTCCTCAACCAGCCCTGTGATCAGAGACCCTGGTCATGTCTGTGGCCAATAGGGTGGACTCTGTGGTGAAGCCAGTGAGAGGAGGAGGGAGACACAGCTCCCCAGGAAACTTGGGAGGAGTCTCCTCAACCCTCCACCCAGGCCCTGCTCCAACCAGCCCTTGGCACCCTGTTTTACCTCTGCAGCTTCGAGACAATTTCCGTCAGATGACCCTGAGCATTGCTGACCTGTGTGTGGAGTCAGACAAGGCCTGGAAAGTGGGAAAGACCAAAATTTTCCTAAAGGTGAGACCCTGAAGAACCAGTGGGTCATCAGCCTCCTGGATTGTGCGGGGCAGGTCAGCTCACACCTCACGCTGAGCAGTGGTGCTGGCACCCACTCTGCACCCTCAGGGTCCCTCTGGCCCTAGGAAGTTCACAGATCCAGAGCCCAGAGGAGCTCAGGGCAGGCTCCCAGAGTCCCAAGAACTGGCACCAACATGCCAGGAGAAGCAGCCTACAGCAGAGGGCTTGCCCCACCTGAGAAGGCTCACTGGGGGACTGACTCTGTGTGTTGACACCCAGGGAAGCAGCTATCCTTAGGGAGCTTGTGGAACACCCTGGCCTCCCCACAACATACAGGGCAGGCAGATGTAGCCTTGTTGCCCTCCAAGATTACCAGTGGGCTCAGGGAGTCTCCACAGAGAGGACCTCCATGTCCCCCTAGCCTCTTAAGCCTGAGGTGGGTGAGCAAAGTGAGGAGAGGAAGGCGAGATCGAAGCTGGGAGGAGGGTTGACAGCTTGGACAAGCTTCCACACATCCTCGTGACTTTTCTCCTTCCCCTTGAGAGCCTGCCCACCTGCTTCTGCCCCCTCAGGGGCCTCCTGCCCCCACCTCCAGTTGGTTCATCTGTCTGTCTGTCTGTGCATTAGTCAGGCCCGAGCTGGGGCTCTGGGACACAGACAGGAGGAAGAAGAAGAGGGACTTTTGATTTGTTTGGGAGGCGAGGCTCCAGAGGAAGCATCCAGGGCACTGCCCAAGAGGGCGGGTAGCCAGTGAGGCTCCAGGGGCATCGGTGTGGGCAGGTCAGCGTGGGCAGGTGGTCAAGGAGAAGAGGGGAGCACCACCACTCTGTGGCCCTCCCTGGCTGTTCTGGAGGCCACGGCCAAAGCCCAGTCTGTCTTTGTGTTCCAATGCTCACCCAGGGAGCACAGGGAGGCTTGATGCCTCCTGACCTGCATTGAGGGAGTCAGGATGCCCCATCCTCTTCCTACCCACCACAGAACAATCCCTTCAGAGCTAAGGTGGCAGGCTCTAGCCTCATCCCAGAGCACAGGGATTGAGCCAGAAAACGGAGGGTGGGGAAAGTCACACTCAGGGATAACACTTCGTGCTGTGAACCCTACTCACAGGCTATGGGAAAAATTTCTATATTCAAACAAGCATAGGTCCACTGTATAGTTGAATGCAAATATTGCATGAATTTTGGGAAATAAAACAACTTCAGAGAAATTTTATGACAACTTCCTCTGATCCTTGGGTTCCATTAACAAGAAGGAAGAGCTCCAATAGGAAGTTCATGGATCTCTTTCTCTGAGTCCCCTCAGGATCTTTGCTGGCCTCCTGGGAAAGCCTGGAGACACTGATTTCTAGAGGCTGAGCCCTAGCCCCAGGCAGGTACTGTGGGAATGGCGGCAGGGACAGCCTCACAATTGGTGTCGTTCCTGCCCACAGGACCACCAGGACACTCTGCTGGAGATACAGAGGAGCCAGGCGCTGGACAGAGCTGCAGTCCGAATCCAGAGAGTCCTTAGGGGCTACAAACACAGGTGCTGGTCCCACCTCTGCCCCCGCCCTGCCCACGCACCTGTCCTCTGGGCAGGCTTGGGAGGGAAACTGAGCCGCAAGACCTCCTGACCAGGACAGTGCAGCCTGTGTTGGCCAGAGAATGTCTCATCAAAATGTTTGGAAAACACAAAAACCACTCCCTAAACAAGAGTTGTGAGGGCCGAGGATTTAGCTCAGTGGTTTCGCCGCCTGCCTTGCAAGTGCAAGGTCCCAAGTTTGACAGCTGGTACCAAAAAAACCCCCCAAAAGCATGAATTGTGAGCCAAATGATTTTGATGCTCAATTAATCATCTTAAAGAGTACCCGGGCTTGGGGTGTGAGGTAGTCTGGTTTTAGAGGTTAAAAAAATGCTCATAACTTTGCCTCAGTTCACTGGTCGGAAAGAAGGCACCACAGCCAGGTACCACATTTTATGTATGTGTCAGTATCCTAGTGACATCACACCCATCTTCTTTTTTTTGGTACCTGGGATCAAACTCAAGACCTTGCGCTTGTGAGGCAGGCGGTGGAACCGCTGAGCTAAATCCCCAGCTTTCTTCTTTTGTATAAGTACAGTTGACCCTTAAACAACATAGTTTTTAACTGTGGGGGTCCACTTACATATGGATTTTTTTGGGAAATTTGTGACAATTTGAAAAGAACATAGATGGACCTCATAGCCTAGAAATATCCAAAAAATTACAAAAAGGCATGTCATGTAAACATAAAATATGTATTTACTACCATCTGTTAAACAGAAATCTATTATTAAAAGGTGAAACTTAGGCACACAAGCCAGGCTTGGGGCGCATGTCTATAATCTCAGCACTCAGGAGGCTGAGACAGCAGGATTGCCTCAAGTTCAAGGCCAGCCTGGGCTACATAGTGGGTTCAAGACAGCCCGAACTACATAGTGAGACACTGTCTCAAAAAAAAAAGTATTCACACAAACACAGATCATGGTGCCATTCACAATTAGGGGAAATTTAAACAAATGGAAACATGCAGGTCTAAATAACTGCATAAAATTAACCAACCCACACTGTACTGTTGTAATAAGTTTGTAGCCACCTCCTGTTGGTGTTTCAGGAAGTCTGAAGTTATATTCAGATTTTTGACTGTGCAAGGGCTCAGCACCCCAACCCTCAAGCTGTGCAAACATCAACCGTACGCTCTCAGATTTGCACAGGAGTAAAATCGCCCAACAGTGCATTTTTCAGAGCACAACCTCTTGTTAGAGTGACACTTGACTGCATCTGGATCTCAGCAGGTCAGCGATGCCCCTGCCCTCATCATGCCCACAGAATTTGCCCGGCTCCACTGCACTGTTTCCCACCAGCCACAGGCAGGGTGGAAACTCCAGCATGAGAAAATGAAGGCAAAGTTTTGTGTCAACATAAGTTGCTATTTCTCTGGGAGAAATGTCCAAGAATGATATGCTTGGGTCAAATGGTAGTAACATGTTTCATTTTTTAAGAAACCTCCAAGCTGGATGTAGATGCTGTCATCCTAGCACTCTGGGGGGCTCAGGTAGGAGGATCCATCACAAGTTCCAGCTCACCCTGGTCAACTTAGTCATTTATTGAGACCCTATTTCTAAGAAATAAAAAGAGCCGAGGATGTAGCTCAGTGCAAAGACCCTGGGTTCAATCCCCAGTACAAAGAGAGAAGGGGTGGGGGGGAGCCACCAAACTGTTTTCAAGAGTGACTGTATCATTTCATGTTCTCACTGGCAAAGTATGAATTATTCAGTTTCTCTGCATCCTCACCAGCATCGATGCTATCTCCATTCACACACAGCTACTCTGATGCGTGTATACTGATGTCCTATTGTGGGCACAGCTTACATTCCCGCCTTGGCTAGTGAAGTTGAACATCCTTTATGTGCTTATTTGCCATAGGTATGCACTCTCTTTGGTGAAATGTCTGCATATATTGCTTGCCCATTTTCTAATTAGTTTGTTGAGCTTTGAAAGTTCTTTAGATATTCTAGATACTAGTGCTTTGTTGGTTATGTGGCATGTAAATATTCTTTCCCAGTCTATAGCTTATCTTTTCTTCCTCTTAAAAGGGTCTTTGCAGAGTAAAACTTTTTAATTTTGATAAAGTCTAGTAGATAAATTTTCCTCTTATGAATCATTTTTTTTGGTTTTGAGTCTAAAAACTTTCCAATGTAGATAACCATGTCATCTGCAACTAAGGACAGTTTTCTTTCTTCCTTTCCAGTCTATGTGTCTTTTATTTCCTTTTCTTGCCTTATCATACAAGTTGGAACTACCAGTAGTATTAGAGAGCACTGACTGCAGACATCTTCACTGTGTCCCACACTTGGGAGAAAATATTCAATTCTTAACCATTATTCAGTGTTTTTTTTTATTTTTATAATGTAAAATGACATGACTCTCTCTGTCAGCACTGCTTTAGCTGAGTTTCACTAATTTTGGTATGATATAGTTTCATTTTAAGTCAGTGTATTTTTTAAAATTTCTCCTTTGGGCCATGGATTATTTCTGAAATATGTTGTTTAGTTTCCAAGTGTTTGGAGATTTTCCTGTTATCTTTCTGTTATTGATTTGTAGTTTAATTCCACTGTGGTCAGAGATGCATTCCATATATGTTAAATTTTATTAAATATGTTGAGAGTTCCTTCATGACCCAGGATGTGGTCTGTCTTGATATGTATATTCTAAAGGGTGCTTGAAAAAAAACCCCATATATTCTGCTTTTGTTGGATGAAGTATTCTAAAAGAATGTCACATAGGTCTTGTTGGTTGGTAGTGGAGTTAAACTCCACATTCTTATTAATATTCTGTCTAATTGTCCTATCAGTTGTTGAGTAGTGTTGAGCTGTCCCACTACAACTGTGATTTGCCTTTATCATTTTACTTTTATTAGTTTTTGCTTCTTCTGTTTTGTAGCTCTGTTTTTAGATGCACACACATTTAGGGTTCAGTGTCTTCCTGGTGAATACACATTTTTTTTTATGTTTTTATTTTTTGAATACACATTTTTATACTCATGTAATTGCCTTCTCTATCTTGAATTGTTTTCTTTGCTGTGAAGACTGCTTTACCTGACATATATGTAGCCACTCTTGTTTGATTACTATTTGCATGATAACATTTTTCATCCTTTTGCTTTCAGCCTACTTACATTAGTACACTTTTAGTGAGTTTTTCATGGATAGTATGTAATTGGGTCATGATTTTTAATCCATCCTGCCAATTTCTGTCTTTTAATTAGTGTATTTAGGCCTTTTAACTTTAATGCAGTTATTCACATCTTGGAGCTTCCGTCTCCCATTTTATTTTTGTTTTCTGTTTTTATTTTCCTGGGTGTTTTTCTACCTTTCTGAGGGTTATTTAAATATTTCTTTAGGATTCCATTTTGATTTATGCATGGTGTGTTAAAGCATATCCTTTTAAGTGATTGCTTTAGGTATTATGTGTTAGTTATTACATATTACTGTTACTATATTCATTATATACTTCAAATGAAGTATAGAAACCTTTTATATCTGTTTGTCCTTTCCCATTTGTAATATAATTTTCTCAAATATTTTCTCTACATACATTTAGAACCACATCAGAGAATGTTACAAATTTTGCCTGATTATTAAATACATTTTAGCAAACTCAGGAAGACAGGAAATTTTATTTGCCCATATTATTGCTTATTATTCTTTTCTCCTTCCTGACATTCCAAGGTTTCTTCTTTCATTGTTTCTTTTCTATTCAGAGGACTTTCTTCAGTCATCCTTCTAGAGCAGGTCTACTCTCAGTTCTCTTCCTCTTCCTCCACCTGAGAATGTCTTGATCTCCCTTTTATGTTGCTGCATATGAAGCTCTATTGACATTCCTTCCTTCAGATGCTTGGGAGAGGTTGTGCCACTTCTTGCTGGCTGCCTCAGTTTCTGATAAGAAATCTGGTGTCTTTTGAATTGTTTTCCTCCTAAGATAGTGTGCTGTTTCTTTTTCATTGCTCTCAAGGTTTTATTGCCTTTGGTTTTCAGAAATTTGGCATGTGGATTTATTTGGTTTTTAGTTTTTTCAGCTTCTCATCTATAAGTTTGTGTCTCTTGCCCAATTTATGAGCATTTTGACTATCATTTCTTTAATTACTTTTTTATTGTTATTGTTTTTGTTTGTTTGGTTGGTTGGTTTTTTTGGTACCAGGGATCGAACTCGGGTCCTTGCGCTTGTGAGGCAGGCGGCGGAACCACTGAGCTAAATCCCTGGCACTTTTAATTACTTTTTTAGCCCTACCTCTCTCTCCTTTCTTTCCAGGACTCTGATGACAAAAATATTAGACCTTTTATTATAGTTGCTCTGGTTCCTGGGACCCCGTTCTCCCTCCCTCCCTCCCTCTCTCGCTCTCTCTCTCTCTCTCTCTCTCTCTCTCTCTCTGAGTCTCACTGTGTAGTCCAGCCTGGCCTCGAACTCGTAATGATCCTCCTGCCTCTGCTCCCAATAGCTGGGATTATAGGCATGTGCCACCACGCCTTGTGGCCCTGTTCAATTTCTTCAGTTTATTTTCTTTTTGTTCTTCAGTTTGAGTAATTTCTACAGGTCTGTCTTCAAACTCATTGATTTATTCCTCTGATATCTCTGTCGTGTTGCTGGGCCCATCAATTTAGGTGGGGTTTTTTTCAATTGTATTTTTCAGTTCTAAAGTTTCCCTTTTTTTTTTTTTGTATCTTCTATTTCTTTACAGAGACTCTGTTTTCCTGTTTATTTCAGGTTGTGTTCACAACTGCTCTTTGAAGCATTTTTTTTGTTTTTTTCAGAGCAACTTTTAAAATTTTTTATTTTATTTTATGAGTACATGCTTATAGTTCATGCAGTTTACAGTCATCTCAGGGAGGAGTTACATGTACACACTACAGTTTGGGTCTCTTTTTAAATCCCCTTTGCCCTCCCTGTCCCTTCCAGAATTTTTGTATGATGGTTGACATCTCTGTCACTTCAGGGTTGGCATCTATTTATTGTCTTTTGTTTTTCAAGTTGAATTCTTCTGGTTCTTAGTATGATAAATGATTTTGGATTGAAATATGGACACTTTGGGTATTGCATTATGAGAACTTTGGGTCTTTAAATATTCTGCTTTTGGTGCTTCCTCTCCACTCAGGCCCCACTTGGCAGGGGCATGTGAGGTACCATCTGTTACCATCACCTCAGGTTCTCCACATGGCCTCTGTCAAGTCTCAAGGTGGCCACAGGTTCCTTGTTACTGCTGGCTGAGGCTGGGGAGTCTGACCAGGAAGGCAGAGAGCACTTTGTTACTGCTGGGTAGATGGCCTCCCCTGACACCAAGGGGGTAGAGGTGAAAAACCTGCCTTTCCACTAGGTCTCCTCTGATACAACCCCAGCATGGAAGGGAAGATGCCTCATTACTGTCCAGCAGGGGTCAAGTCTACGATCCCTGGAGGCTCCACTGACACTAGGGGATGGGCTCATAACTGCCATCGCAGGTGGAAATCCTGGTTTCCTTTTCATCCTTCTCAGACATGACTTTGGCAGGAGGTGCACCTCATTACAGGCTGGTCAGGGTAGAAGTCTCAGCTCCCCACATGACACTTCCTGGTGTAGGTGGGGTGGTGCTGCAGTTGTCTTATGCATTGTATCACTGGAGTAGAGTGGTTATTATTTTAAGTTTTCTATCTTACTAGGGTACCTCTTTCCTGATTCTTTGGGTAGAGAGAAAATGCTCTTCTAGGGGCTTTTTGGTCTACATCTTTTGGTGTTTCTGGGTTGCCGAGTCCCTCAGTTCTAGCTTGGGTAGATGAGGCAAAAAGAAGTCCTGAAGAAGTTACCGTTGTGTCATTTCTTGAGGTATGGTGTCCCTACATGATCCGCTTTCTTCTCTGCTTTCAGAGTTGTCTTATGTTTGTTTTGATATAATGCCCAAGGATTTTAGTTATACTTAGCAGGAGGATTAGGTCAAAGTACGTCTACCCCATCTTCTTGGAGGTGATGACCATTGATATTTCACCATGCTTTTGCTGGTCTAGTCAATGAAACTGGACAAAAAGAGATAAAGAAAAGATAGATTCATGGCTTCTCAGTAACATTTTTGACTGTGTGTGTGTGTGTGTGTGTGTGTGTGTGTGTGTGTGCATGTGTAAAGGGGATTGAACACAGGGCCTCATGCATGCTAAGCCTGCACTTTGTGCTTGACCTACAACAGCCCTACCCCATAGAATGATTTTTGTTTTGGGAGAGTCATGTACATTATAGGGTGTTTAGAAGAATTCCTAGCCTCTGCTCCCTGGCTGTCAATACCATCCTCTCCCACCCTTCCTGCCATTGTGACAACCAAAATATCTCTAGACTTTTCCAAATGTGCTCTGGAGGGTAGCTATATTCAGTTAGGAACTGCTGTATAGATACTGGAAAGGAGATAGATTATCTTTATTTTGGGATTATTTAATTGTTTACTTTGGCTCTGTTAGAATACTGGGGAGTTAAATATATATAGTTATCCTTTAGTATCTTTGGAGGGTTAGTTCCACCATTCAGTAATCCAATATCCATAGATGCTCATATCTCTTATATAAAATGGTATAATATTTGCATGTAACCTACATGCATTATCCTATATGATTTCAGTAATGTCTAGATTACCTATAATTCCTAATACAATGGAAATGCTATGTAAATAGCTATTATACAGTGTTATTTAGGGAATGATGCATGACAAGAAAGAAGCTCTATATAGGTTCAGTGCAGATGTAATTTTTTTATTCAAATACTTTCAACCTGCAGGTGATTGAATCTGTAGAGGCAGAACCTGTATATACAGAGGGCCATGTGTGTGTGTGTGTGTGTGTGTGTGTGTGTGTGTGTGTGTTTATAGACACACTAAACAAATATCAAAAGTTCTGACTTAATTGGACTGGGTGCAACCCAGGCATCAATAAATGTGGAAGTTTTTTAGATGGTTTTAGCATGGTTGTGGTCTACTGTTCTAAACTTAAGAAAATCCTCTGAAAAAGTTACTAGAAGTGAAAAAGAAAACTCATCCCACTGTCAAATGAATGATCTGTATGGCCTGAACTCACCTGGACCTGTCTCTGTCCCCCAAAAGCCCAACATCCAGATCCTTTTCTCTCGGTCCAGCCTTGGGCTAAGAGGCCATAAGGAGGGTTTTGATAAGGAACAAAATATTAGAAATGAACTTTATTCCTTCACAGATCCTGGGGGGGTTAAGGAAGGTCTTCTTGATTATTTTAAAAACTATACTGTCTTCATTCTGAAATTTGGGTTGTTCCCAGTAGATTTCATGTCCTAACCTGCCTGTGGACCATTTGGTTTGTAATGGCTTCTGAGAAGGTACTGTAGGGATTCTCTCTCCCCAGCAGTTTATTATCCCGCTTCCCTTCCAAATAAGTTCCCCAGCCCTCACAGGCTTTCCAATCCTCTGACTTGTTACATGCCTCTTACTTGCACCCTCCTCTCCCCCAGGAAGGAGTTCCTGAGGCAGAAGCAGGCAGCTGTGACCCTCCAGGCCAGGTGGCGAGGCTACTGCAACAGAAGAAATTTCAAAATGGTGAGAGAGAGCTTGGGAACCTGGGCCTTTGGGAGAAGTGGGTAGATTTTAAGAGTTTGTTTCTCTGAGTAGAGATATCAAGCAGGAAGTGTCCCATCCCTAACACATGAAATATAGATTTTCAGTAATGGACATCAGCACCTGTCATCTCAGGCCCATGTTCATGTTCTCCTACAGAGCTCAGGACATCTCCAAAGCAGGACTGAGGAATCCTGCTCTGAAATGAGATCAGGACTCTTTATTTCCCAACTTGCAGGCAACGACATGATGCTGAGCAACTGTGGCTGCACTCATTTGAGCTTCATTTGACTTTATCGTGGTGATGACTGTGCCCAGGATATAAAATGGTCACATTAGCAAAATTGGCCCCAGGGATTTCTGTGTTCCACGTTCATATAGTGTGTGATAGAGGCCAGTGGGTATGGAAAGGCTACTTGGGGCCTGTTGCTTTATTTAGTATTAAACCAACCCTATAAGTCAAGGAACTGAGGCATGGAGGAGTTCAGTAGAGTTCCCAAGAGTACACGGTTAGTAAGCAGTGAGCTGATACTGGATGTGAATCTACATGACTTCCAGGCCCCTAAGCTGACCCAGACTGGCTTGATCTCTAAGTAGCCAACAAAGCTTATCCTAGGAGCTCAGGAACTATTGTGGCCTGGGGACATTTGCAGCATACATATGGCCACTCATCCACTTTCTGCTTTCCTTCTGTTTTAAAGACCCCCAGAGATTAGCTTGATGGAGCCAACCACACCCTCTCCCCAGCCCACAGGTTTGCCAGCCTTGGCTGACACAGTAGCTGAACTTGGCTGGCAGTATCAATGAAAAGAAAAGCTCTGAAATAGAATTGCCCATGTCAGACCCAAGCCTATTCTTTCTTCCTGGCCCTCAGGAGGCCACTTTAGGATTTAACAAATGCTTAGTTAGTACTTCCCTGCATAGCAGGCTCTTTTCTAAGGACTTTACAAATAGTAATTCACTTCGTAGGCTCATGCTCATATGTAGCACTGGCCCTCTCCCAAGAAGCAGATGACTGTCAAGCTAACTTTCCAGGTCCCCTGGGAACTGCCTTAGTGTTCCTTAGAAAGGCTTTCTGGTAAAGGGGGCAAAGGGAAAGGGGAAGTAGGGGGAGGGGGGAGGAGAAAGGAAAGAAGGGAATGGAATTAATATGAGAAAATGAAAAAATGGAAACAAAGTCTTTGTAAATAGCGAGGGATGGAGGGGTTGAAGGGAGGGCAGGGGAAGGGGGAAAGAATAAGAACCAAGAGGGATTATGTAAAGTTGCACATTTCCAATGATAAATGTCATTATATTGTATATCTAAAGTGTACCAATAAAATTAATTAAAAAAAAAAAAGAAAGGCCTTCTGGTTCTGAGCCCTCTTCTCTCCTCTCCCCACAGATCCTGGTGGGCTTTGAACGCCTGCAGGCCATTGCCCAGAGCCACATACTGGCGAGACAGTTCCAGGCCATGCGGCAGAGGATGGTGCAACTGCAGGCCCGCTGCAGGGGCTACCTGGTGCGGAAGCAAGTCCAGGCTAAGAGGAGGGCAGTGGTGGTCATCCAGGCACACACCCGGGGCATGGCTGCTCGGCGGTGCTTCCAGAGGCAGAAAGCCAGTGTGGGTGCTCATCCAGCCTTTGAACAGGTGGGACTGGCAGCAGCCCAGGTGGGCAAGGGTAAGTGGGAGGAGAGAGTGGCAATGAAAAGCTCTTATCAAAGTCCCCTTTTGAAAGTCCACACTTTCAAGCTAAGATGTTTAAATCTGTTTCAGTTTCTCAAGACCACAGCAAGAATACAGAAGTCATACTAAGCAATACCTGGGCTGCCATTAAGATAGTACAAGAGGCACCTCTTTCTTCTCCTTGTCCCAAGTCAGTAGGGCAGGGGCCATCACACCATCTGGGAAGACTCAGCTACCACCCAGGACTTTGTAGAATGTAGCATAAACAGGCAGCAGCGGAGGAGGACAGCCTTATACCTGTAATCCGGAAGTGAAACTCTTCATTCCTTTCCCTTTACTAAACCTTGGGGACAATTTCTTGGCAGGGAAAGTTTCCTGGAAGGCACAGAAAACTTGGGCCAGATGAGCTGTAGGAGGCCATGGTTCCACGTAGGAGAGCAGAGCCCTGGGCACGGGGCTGTGTGATAGCTCAGGTGACAGAGAAACACCAAGAGGAGCCATTCATTTTTCTGGGAGGTTGGGAGGGTAGGGACCATCAGACTAGTTCCAAGAAGCATGCTCCTGCATTTTGAAATCTCACTCTTACACAATCTCGTACCCTCTATAAATTATTCTAGACTTAACCTTATTGCTTTTCATTTGGCTCGTTTGGTGTTGTGATAAGGCAAAGGGGCTGGGTGACATTTGCCTCTGCCCCATAGATGAAAATTAGGTCTACCGCATAAAGTACCAGGGCAATGGACAGGCCAAGTGAGAAGCAGACCCTCAGACAAGTCAGCAGAATGCTTCTGCTCTGGCAACCCCAGCCTGGCTGCAGGGCACTCTGACCTGTGTACTCCTTAGTACAGGCCTGGACTTTTCCTGAAAGACCCTGCGAATGAAAGGACGCAAGAGGTGGTTTGGGGCTTCCTGGAGTTTGAGGTGGTGCTGCAGGGATCAGGCCAACAATTTCACCTCTCTCCAGACCTCTGATTATCACTGTGAAATGAAAACTCCTGGCTGATTTCCACTCACCCTAGATCTTATTGCCTTGGACAAATGGTACTAGGACAGGGTTTACCAGGCTTCTGGAAGATATTTGTCATGTGAGAGTAGACAGAGTGGGACCCTTTTAGCCCAGCCTGTAGGTCACAGTCTTCCCATGGGGTATGTGTGCAGGGACCTGTGATCATCCCAGCTGAAGAGCAGAAGAACCAAAGTGCTCTCCCCACCAAGAAGCGCAGCAAGTCCATATATGACACTGTCACTGACACAGAGATGGTGGAGAAAGTGTTTGGCTTCCTCCCATCCATGCTTGGAGGCCAGGAAGGCCAGGCCCCAGCACGCTTTGAGGTAAGACAGCCCTGGATGGGGGCTGGGCCCTTGGCTCCTGGAAAGTCTGCCACAGTGAGCAGTCAAGTGAATTCTGTTCCCTGTGTGGTCACACAAAGAGCAGACAGGCAGCTGAGTGGTCAGACCCTTCAGAGCCAGGCAGCTTGCTCCCCTGCAAGACTTCCTAGAGCCCCCACAGGGCTGCTTCAGCCAGGCAGCACCTTCCACATGTGCCTGGAGCCCTGCAGACTGCTGCTGTGCACATGTGACCAGGGAGCCAAAATGCAGAGGATAAAACTGAGGCAGCAGGATGTAGGGTGAGGGCAGTGGCAGGGCAGGAGCTGCATCCAGCACTGTGCTGTGGACCCTTATCCCACCCCACTCTGGGTTCTGAGCCCTGGGGACCCTCACACTGCCTTCCTCTCAGTGCTCAAGGTCTCTGTGTAGTGGGGCAGCTGGGATCACCTCCTCAAGAGGAGCACTGCCCGGCCCTGCTGGGCCTGCAGGGAGGCAGAGAGGAGGGCTGGGGGGTAGCTATAGATGGCTCATGTCTGCGGGGCAGAAGAGTCAAGACTGTGACAGCAGCCCACTGCCCCCCACCAAGTGTGGGAGTTGGGGGAGGGCTCAATCCCAGGTCCAGGTACACGCCTCTGCACCTGGCGATACCCAGATGGAGTCTTCCCAGGCTCCCTGAGCCCCAGCACTGCTCACTTTGCTGGACAGCTAGCTGAAGTTTCAGCTGATATCTAAAAGGACACCCACCTTTCCTCCCTCACGGTCCCCAGGATCTGGAAACCAAGACCCCCAAACTCCCCGAGATTGACCTGGACACAGTCCCCATGGTGGAGGAGCCGAAGGAAGACATGGATGACCTGGCAGAGTACTCCTTTCACAAGTTCGCCGTGACTTACTTCCAGAAGTCAGCCAGCCACACACACATCCGGCGGCTTCTCCGCTACCCACTGCTCTACCACGATGACAACACTGACTACTCGGTACCCAGTTGTTCCCTGGTTCACAGTGGCTCAGTCTCCCCTAGAACCCCGAGCCGAGGTTCAGAGAGAAGGTGCTCTGGCTCCAGTCAGCCCTCTGTCTGCCCCCCACCAGGCTGCTCTGGCTGTGTGGACCATCATCCTGAGGTTTATGGGTGACCTTCCAGAGCCAGTGCTGTACGCCAAGAACAGCCTTCGGGGCAGCCCAGTAATGCCACAGATCCATGACAGGCTGGGTCAGGAGGGCATGGCCCAGGGCGCACAGCACACTGGGCCTGTGCAGGTGAGTGGTGTGAGGGTCGTGGCTGGGGGTGTGGGCAGGATGGAGAGACGGACATAGGTCCCTCTCCTAAGTATCATCCAGAGCCAGCCCAAGCTGGGGCACCTGGGCATGCTCAGTCTTGAATTATACTTGAGACTTGGTGAGTTAAGAATCACACCCAGGATAGTTTGAATTATCCAGTCGTTAATAGAGAGAGTCCCCTGGGCTCTGAATATTGGGTTTGACTTGAGCCAAATTCAAATGTGTACAACAATAATAATACCAACCAACATCGTTGTTGATTGACCACCTGCTATGTGGCTGTTGCTCCTCTTTGTTCATTTCCCAGCTGGGCCAACCTTACAAGGTAGGGGTTAATATGTTTATGTATAGCTGGTGAAGTGGAGAAGTGAAGTGACTTCCCCCAAGTCACGGTGAGGGTGCTCATGAGAACTGGCTTTGCACCCAGCTTGCTGGATTCAGAGACCACATTCCTGTCTCTCATTTAGTTGTGCTCTCTGCTGGAAGGTTCATTTGCATCCATTTCTGGTCAGAGTGCTTGGCAAGACCTAGTTCCATGAGGAAATCTCCTCGAGGGAGCTCACCAGAGGGATGCGCAGCAGTCAGGGCACTCTGGCCATCAGCTGCAAGATGCTGCGTACCCCATGCACTGATTACACAGAAGTCTGCAGCCCAGTCACAGGCCATGCCAGGGCCCAGTGCAGGCCCTCTCCCCTGACCTCTGGAGCCACAGCCTCCACCAGAGTGCTAAGGATCTATTGCTGGGTGACATGTTAACCCCCCAAAATAGCACATAGCTATAATTTACATGGTTTCTGATAGTCAGGATCAGCTTTGCTGGTTAGTTCTGGGTCAGAGTCTCTCATGAGGTTGCTGTGAACATGTCACCCAGAGCTGGTGTCACCTGAGGTGTGACTGGGGTGGAAGGTCTACTCTCAAGACGGCCACTCCTATGGCTGCTGTTAGGAGGCCTCTATTCCTGGCACAAGGACCTCTCCACAGAGCTGCCTCACAGCACAGCTTCCCCCAGAAAGAATGATCCAGGCAGGAGAGCAGAAAGAAGACTCAGTGTCCAGGCATGGAAGTAACAGAGCACAGAGGGCAACAATGTCAAGAGTAGGTGCCCCCAGAGGTCACCTTGGAGGCTGGTGGCCCCTCAGGGAAGAGGCTCTGAGAGGCAGCATAGCCACACTAAACCCCTGGAGGTGACACAGAGGCTACAGAATGACTTCTCAGGTAGATCTCAGGTTTTCCTGCCTGCACATGTGACCCACTAACAAAGCCCTGGGCCACAAGCCTACCCACCTCCCAGAGTGTGCCTGCCAATGTTGCACATTCAGTTGTGTGCCCCAAACCAGCTTTGCCCCAACCAGAAGCTGATGCCCAGGCCCATACTGAGCTCTAATTTGGGCAGCACATTATTTTCATGACAAGGTATGACCTTGGCCTAAGGAGATCACAGACCCTAATGGCTGCCGGCAAACCTTTCCTCGGCAGCTTTGTAAATCAGGCCAGGAACATCTGGGTGACAGGGACGCTTGGTCCACACTAGGTGGCTGGAGGGTCAGTAGCACTGAGGGACCACCCAGGCTCCCTTCTTCTGTTGCCTGTGTCTCCACAGAGACTGAGCCACAGGGATAGAGGGACCAAGGACATCTCCTCCATGAAGCTGAAGCGGTCCTCCCGGATCACAGGCCAGGTGAGCCTGGGGCAGGGGCCCAGCCTGCTTCCGAGTTCCTGGCTATTGCTTCCACCCCTGTATGTCAGGTTCTCCTTGGCAAATGGGGAGAATGGCAGCTGTCCTAACAAACCTCTTTGGGCTTCAAGGTGGCTAGCCAGCTGAGCACCGGAGAGGAAGCGTTCGACCCCGATGGCCCCATCTCAGACAGACCTATGTCCAACCTGGAGAAGGTGCACTTCATTGTGGGCTACGCCATCCTTCGACCTGGCCTCAGGTCAGTCCCCACTGCTAACCCACCCTTCCTCAGAGCACCAGCTTCCCCCCTGGCTCCCAGCCTCCTCCTCTGTCCCCAAGAAACCCCCCTCCTCCTCCTATTCCCTGGCCTGGGGCCTGCAGCCTCAGTCTAGGACAGCAGAAGTTATAGCCACCAAGCATTCTCTGCTTGCTGTACATTAAGAAAACCCATGCATAAAACCCAGTTTTAGGAAAACAGATTTATTGCAGGCTGGTGATTCATCTTGGCTTTAGTGCAGGACTCTGAAAATGAGCAAGTTCCTCATTTACATTGTATGTAATATACATATGCTTTATATGCTGTTTGCTTTAGTTTTTCATATAAATTCTAAGAAAAAGTATACTACTTTATGGGAAAGACTACAGTATTCAGGGGGTTGCTTATTTTATTATTTTTAACCAAAAACTGGGAAATATTGCCCATTATTCTTCAAATATTCTGTCTTTCTCCTCTCTCTCCCAAACCCTTCAAACTCTAATTAAACCTACATAAAACTTTATGTTACTGTCCCTCAGGTCTCTAGAGTCTGTTCGTCTTTTCTTTCTTTTTTTCTCTGTTCTTTAGGTTGTATAGTTTCTGTTGATCTATCTTCAAATTTACTGATCTGGGGCTGGGGATTTAGCTCAGTTGTTCTGCTGCCTGCCTCGCAAGCACAAGGACCCGAGTTTGATCCCCGGTACCAAAAAACAAAACAAAACAAACAAATTTACTGATCTGTCTTCCTCAATCTACTGCTGCACCCACTCAGTAGGTTTTTATATCAGATATCATAATTTGAGTTATACCTGTATTATTATGTTTTCTTGGACATTTATAATTATATTTATCTGCCAAGATTTCCTATTTGTTCATTTGCTGTGCATGTAGTTTCCTTTATGTCCTTGAGCATAGTTACGGGAGTTTTTAGGCCTTTTCTGAAACTTTGACATCCAGGTCACACTGGAGTCATCTCCACTGGCAGCTGTGTTGCTTGGGAATGGTCATGTTTTCCTGTTTCCTCATATGTCAGCCTTTTGGGTTGTATCCTGGACACTGAGGTGATATAGTTAGAGCCTCTGGATTCTGTTCTTTCAAAGTGTGGAGTTTTTGTTTCAGGGCAATTAATTTGGCTGAACTCAGAGTGTGTCAGTCTCATCGTGAGCAGCAGGTAGAATCCATATTCAGCTATTTTAGTCTGCTCAGAGTCTACCTCATCATGCACAGACACGGGGCCAGCAAAGATTTATATGCAAAATGTCATACTCTTCTCTGGAGTTCTTCATACCAGGATTACCCCTCTCACATTCATGTTGCTTGGGAATCCCAAATTCTACCCTCTGCTTCTTCAAACCAATAAGACGACAGGCCCTCTACCCAAGTGCTAGCCTCCGTGGGTTCTCTGCTGCTAGTTCCCCTCATGTTAATCCTTACCAGCCTCCACCTCCTCCAAAATGGCAGATACATAAGCTATGTCCAAATGAGGTATTATCATGGGTTCTTCAGATACCTCCACAGGCAATGCAACTCAGTGCTGGTGTCCGGCCAGGGCCAACACTTCATTGATCCCTTGGGATCTCCTGTTGACTCCATCCCCAGTGAAACATCCTACAGCCTTTTACTGCTGATTCTCCTGGAATAATGAGACTTGTATGGGACCCCACCAAGATGCCCAGATGTCAGCTCTTTCCACGGCATCCTCATGGTCAAGCTCTCATATGCCTCACCACAAGAGTGCAGCTCCCAGACCCTGCCTCTTGTGATGGGTTCAGGATTCCCTAGAAGGAACCAGCCCCTAGTCTTTTTATTCATGTATGTCCTCAACTACAGGAACAACAAGACAAGATCTTGGAAGGACTCTGTCACCACACTCCATTGCAGTGCCTTGGTCTGGGGACAGGTGGGGGGCAGTGGGCTTCTGGGGCTCAACTTGCCTCAGATGGGAGGGAGATGGGTCTCATATCTGGAAGGCAGCTCCATCCTAACAGCAGCTCTCCTGGGGTCCCCTCATTTCCCTGTCACTTGTAGTAGGAACAAGCCACAGATTTCTCTGTACCCATAAAGTCCTTTCCCAGAGTCACCTTCCCAATTCTTGGCTTAGTGCCATGGTGGTGAACTGGTTCTTCCATCTTTTAGGAAACCCTATAAGAATTTCTCTCTTTAGAATGTTGGATACTACCATCCATTTGTCCTTGGATCTGAGGTGTTAACCAAATTCCAAGACAAAATAAATTCTCTGTTCCACATCTGTCACACATTTGATATATCTCATTACATACTTGCTCAGGGTGAGGCTCTGGCCTGAGGCTTAGGGATGCAGAGATGAAGAAAATATATCTCTATTTTCAAGGAACTCACCCTTTAGTTTGGGGCTGTGTTAGTCAGCTTTCCATGACAATCACAAAATACCCAAGACAATCAATTTTATAAGAAAGATATGTTTTGGCTCATGGTTTTTATCCATGGTCACTTGATCCTATTGTTTGGGGCCCATGGTGAAGCAGAACATCATGGCTGGAGCATGTGGAAAAAGAAGCTGTTCTTCATAGTGGCCAGGCAAAAAGAGCCAAGAGAGGCAGAGCCAGGGCCCTCATAGTGCCTTCAAGTACACACCCCCAATGACATAACTTCCTCCTTCTGGGCCCCACCTCCTGAAGGTTCCACCACCTCCCAGGAGTGTCACAGGCTGACAACCAGCCCTTTACCACATGGACCTTGTGGGGACATTCATCCAAACCAAGGCTGGCAGCATGAGAGGACCAAGAAACTCCCAAGAGTGTGTGCTCAGATTGGGGTCTGCTCAGAACTAGAGGGGGTGTGACAAAAGGAATAGTCTTAATGCCCTCCTGAACAAGGTGGGAGGACAGGCCAGGCCTGGTCTGGGAGAGGGGATGCAGGAAGGAGGAAGGGTGTTCACCAGCCAGATGAGTAGGCCTCAGAGCCTTCACACCGCCATAAGGGTCTGCGGTTCTGAGTGGTTTGTCACAGTTAGGCCATGGATCTGGGTTCAATTCTAAGGCCAGTGGGGGAAAGTTTTAAGGAGAAGACCACAGTCAAATACAATTCCCAGACAAATCTCTCTGGCAACAACGTGGAGAGTAGAGCCTGGGAGTGGGGGGCTGAGAAGGGGCTGTGACAGAGGTCTAGAGACAGCTTGTGAGGAATGGCTCAGGCAACAGGAAAGACATCCAGGAGACAGGTGGTAGGACATGGTGGTTGATGGGATGTAGAAGATACAGGGACAGGAGAAGTTTAGGATGACTCCCAGATTTCCAGGCGGGGTACATGGTTGATTGTGGTGCCTGTGGATTAGAGAGAGGAACGGTGCTGGGGTTGGCCCTTACCAGCTTTCAAGAGCCAGTTGTGTGCATCTCTTTCCAATTCTGTGTTCAGAAATGTCACAGTGACAACTTAAAATTGGCTTTGGTGGGAACATTCACACCACAGAAGACAGCAAATGCAGAGAAGCCAGGAAAATTGGTGGACAGACATTCACAAGCACACTGCTGAAAACGAGGGGAGGTGCTGGCTTCTGGATGCTTGGGGACTGAGAGGCTAAGGGAGCCCTTTTGTGAGGAAGGGTCCAGGAGAGCCCCTCACCAAGAGGAGACAAGAGGGATGCTCATGAGTCTGTGGGGATGAGACAGGTCAGGAAGAGAAGGCCAAGAGGTTCTCCCATGAGACCTCCACCTTTCCCTCTGCAGTGCTGGGCTAACTCTTCAGGGAAGGAGCGTGGCCACCGGGTAGAGGGAGAAACAATTGTTGGAAATGACTGTGAGGTCTGAAAAGGAGCAGATAGACTTATTCAAGAAGCAGGGCAGAGAAGGCTGTGGCAGCAACACGGGTGAGAGTGTGGCCAGAGGGTGAGCGAGGGAGTAGAAACCCATGGGATGAGGTACCTGGTCTGCAGCCTCAAAGAGCTGGGAAATGGGGAGTGGAAGAAGCAGGACACAGAGCCCCAGAGACATTGGAAGAGGCTGGGGAGACTGAGTGCTGAGCGGTGCCCTGCAGGTGAGACCTCACCCGGGCATCTGTCCCCTCTCCCAGACCAGCCCCGGCCTGCCCTCTCACTGCTCTGTATCTTTCAGGGATGAGATCTACTGCCAGATCTGCAAGCAGCTCTCAGAGAACCCCAAAGTGAGCAGCCAGGCACGGGGCTGGATCCTGCTCAGCCTCTGCCTGGGCTGCTTCCCACCCTCAGAGAGGTTCCTGAAGGTGGGCAGGCTGGGGGTGGGCTGGGGGATGGGGAGGGTTGCAGCAGGACCATGGGTCACTGAGCAGGGCCAAAGACCTCTGCTCATGACTGGGTTTTCTGCACCTGTGAGCTGATGGCAGCAGTACCTGTGCTTCTTGGGGCTCAGTTTCCCCAGTAAAAGACAACACTTTGCCTGGCTCCTTCCATCCCTAGTGAAGGATTGTAGGGGTTCAGGTACCACAATGGCTTTTCAAAACTAAAAGAAGATGGGGGCCAGGGATTTAGCTCAGTGGTTTTGCCGCCTGCTGCGCAAGCACAAGGACCCAAGTTCAATCCCCAGTAACAAAAAAAAAAAAAAACTAAAAGAAGATGGCAGATGACATGCACCTTGAGGTGACAGGTGTCCAGGAGGGTGCTCCTGCTGGACACGAGTTGCAGTGCCTGTTTCTACTCCTTAGAACTAAAAATGTAGGCAAATGGGCAAGAGCTTCCAAGTATTCATGTGGGAATGTAGGACATCTAAAAAGAAAATAAAAGTCATGCCCATAGCCAGAGGTGACTCAGATTAATATTTTCCTCTGGCTTCTTGTTGGTATTACACCTGCGGCTGTACAGGAAACACTCATTTGCTCATGAGTCCCTGTGGTGACAACAGGAACATGGTCACCCGGCCGTCTGTCCAGGGCACTTGGGCCACTCTTGACACCAGTAAACCCTCCCAGCCTGTCTCCCTCACCTCCGTGAGGCAAAATGATTTTCAACACCTTTTGTCCAACATATTTTGGACATCAGCCCTTCTGCATTTTTCCCTTGTCTCCTGATTTTCCTCCTGGTATAAACTTCCCCCGTCCAATTTTGATGTCTAAGCAACAGCTATGAACTTATTAATGGATATTTAAGATCCACCTTCTCATTGCCATAGATACCAACCACTGCAATAAAAAAATACATGTCATTGCTCGTAGGATAGATTTGAATAATGGGGTCAGACAGCATGGATATTTTAAAACTATGCATTATTTAAAACATATTGCCCAACTGTACTGCAGAAACGTACCAATTTGTAGCTGGACATGGTGGCACTTGCCTATAACCCCAGCACTCAGGAGGCTAAGGCAGGAGGATCATCACGGGTTTGAGACCAGCCTGGGCTACATAGTGAATTCATACTGAATACATACTGAATACGTAGTGAGACCCCCCCCCATCACAAAAAATGTACTGGTTTATATTCCATCTCACGGTGAATGGAGAAGGCCCATCCCAGTGCACCTTCACAAACTGAGAGTGAACTTTTAAAAATCTGTCTGGGCAGAAAGTAGAAATCAGCCTACATTCTGAGTGTCCCCCCCCTTCTCTCTTTGCACCCCAGTTCCTCCTGAACTTTATTGGCCAAGGGCCGGCCGGCTACGGACCCTTCTGTGCAGAGCGCCTGCGGCGCACCTGTGCCAATGGGGTGCGCACGGAGCCCCCCACCTGGCTGGAGCTGCAGGTAGGGACTGGCAGGGGTGGTGGTGGGCAGTGTGGGGTGGCACAGGCCCCTGACCCCTGTAGCACAGCTGGTGGGGTGACCTGCCCTCAGTGTTCTTCCATCTCCTCCAAGGCATCTTCTGGCCAAGGTCCCTTGAACCCCAGGACTTGAACTCCCCATATCTAAATCCATCATCCTTTCTGCCCTCCTGGGTGAGGGGGAAATGAATCTGATGTGTCCACCAATGTGATTGGCAAGATTACCCCTCCAGAGGCACTGGGCTTGTCAGGAAGGCAGTGGTCCTGCTGAGGCTGTCACCGCTGGCACATTGCTTCTGGGAACCAGTGCCAACTTGTCCTTCTGTGGCAGCTGGGACACCTGCCAATGCCAGAAGTGTCCTCGGGAAGGGTCACTCTGAGCACTCAGGGTGGAGGGCCACCCTGCACTGGCTCTACCCCCATCTTTGGTCCCAACCCAAGCCTAGAAGCTGTGTGTGGCCCTGTGGTGCCCTGTACTGGGGTCTAAGGGTCACCTCCAGAGAACCCCCATCCTGCTCACACCCCACAACCCAAACCTGCAGAAGCTCCCTCCCACGAGCCCCAGAATTGCAGGTGAACTTGTAGCAGCTGTGAATATTCACATAGTGCTGTACATAGGAGCCCAGGACCCAAAAATGTCCCAAGGAGTTGCTTTGTGTGAGTCTGAGTCACTTAACCTCACCAAACTGAGTTTTCTTCTGAAAGTAGGACCATCACAGCCTGTGTTACAGACCCCAGGGCTGCTGAGGCAAACCTGGAGAAGCTCGAAAACCCTAGATATGCATGGCAGCATTGTTTTTGCCCCTGGCCAGCTGCCTGAACTTTGTTGTTGTTGTTGTTGTTTTTTATTTTGTATTAAATTCTTTTATTGGTACATTGTAGGTATACAACACAAATTACATTTCTCATTGGGAATTGTACCTTTACATAATGCATCTTGGTTCTTATTTTTTCCCCATTCCTAGCCCTCCCTTCACGCCCTCCACCCTTCCCTATTTACAAAGATGAACTTTGTTAGCATGGTGCTGAGCCACAGCTACCCTGAGGCTCTGGAAGGCTCCACCCTTGGGGACCCGGGAGGGTGGACAGGTGGGGTGAGGATGGTGAGCAGGCCTCCAGTCCAAGGCTTCATGGATCCAAGGTAGTCAGCCAGGGCCTCCACCCAGAGGGTTCTGAGCCTTCATCTGCTCCTAGGCTGTCAAGTCTAAGAAGCACATTCCCATCCAAGTGATCCTGGTGACTGGACAGAACCTGACTGTCACAGTGGACTCAGCCTCCACGTCTTGGGAAGTCTGCCTGCATATCGCCCAACAGCAGGACCTCATCGACCACCTGGGCTTCTCCCTCCAGGTTGCTGTGTATGACAAGGTACTGACCAGGTACCAAGGCACCACAGCCCAAGTGACAGAGCCAGCACTGATCTCTGCCTTCTTGGGAGGGGCCACAGGGAGGTGTGTCTGGAACTGGTGTGCCCCTCCCAGCCCCCTCCACATCCCGTGCTGAGAGTGGCTGTCCCCGGGGGTGTGGCATACAGCAGCTGCTCACCCCTGGGCCCCTGGTTCTGTCCTCAGTTCTGGTCCTTGGGCAGTGGGAAAGACCATTTGATGGATGCCGTGGCCCGGTGTGAACAGCTGACCCAGGAGAGGGGCGAGAGCCAGCGGCAGTCCCCCTGGCGCATCTACTTCCGGAAGGAGTTCTTCACCCCCTGGCATGACTCCCAGGAAGACCCTATCAGCACCAAGCTCATTTACCGTCAAATCCTCCATGGAGTCTGGTCTGGCGAGTACAGCTTCGAGAGGGTGAGGAGCCGGAAGAGGAACCACATTCAGGGGCCAGCCTGGCCTGTGGCCTCCTAGGCCTGGCCTCCTTGTCCTCCTCCCTTGGACCAAAGCTTTGCTCAAGCATCTGGGGCTTTAGTAGCAGCAGCAGCAGGCAGGCGAGGCCACCCCACCTCCCTGTCAGCCCCAGGCCAGAGTGCCCTCACTCAGCAGCTGTCTATGGAGTAGCAGGGGCTGGGAATCAGGAATGTGGCCCTGGAGCCCAGGTGCCCAAGTTCAAGTCCCACTTATGTCTCCCTGGCAGTGTGACCTTGGGAAGTCTTGTCACCTCCCAAGCCTAGGGCCCACATATGGATGCACAGAGTGCCGTGTAGTTGTGAGAACTGAGTTATGAGAACTGAGGACAAGGGACAGTGAGGGGGCAGCTAAGTTCAATGAGCAACAGATGCAAACTTCTCTGAACCAAGTCTGGAGGATGCTGCCTAGGGAGCCAAGGCGGCCACTGCTGTCCTGGAAACCTGCCTGGAAGGGGCATGGGCAGGGAGCAGTGGGCCCAGGGCTATAGTAGTGGCCACTGGTCTCCTGTGTGAGGCAAGACTGGAGCCAAAGCAGCATAAGGTCTTGTCTGACTGCACCCCATGCAGGCCAGCAACTCAGAGAGGAGCCCCTTGTCTTCACCAGAAGTCTCAGATGCCCAGAACCCCCTGGTGCTACAGGAGCAGTGGGGCCCCACTTGGGCCCGTGTGGCTGGCCCTGCCAAGAGGAGGTGGCAAGATGAGGTGGCTGTTCCTGCTGCCCAGTCCTCTTGAGTGTCTGGTCAGATGCACTGCAAGAGACAGGAGCTGGCCATGGGGCAGGGGCTAGACAGGGGCTCTCACTTGCCTCCCCTCTCCCGTGTGCCCCACACTGTGCAGGAAGAAGACCTGGTGGAACTGCTTGCCCGGCACTGCCACGTGCAGCTGGGTGCCTCATCGGGGACTGAGGCTGTCCGGGACCTACTGCCCAGCTGCATCCCCCCCAAGCTGTACAAGACCAAGCCCCCAGAAAAGTGGGCTAGCCTCGTCACTGCTGCTCAAGCCAAGGTCAGCCCTGAGCCCACCTGCAGGGTGGTGGAGCCCTAGGGATGGATTCCTCACCCTCTGCACAACAGAAAAGTTTAAACCTGACAGTTAGGGCAGCCCTGACCATGAGGTTTACAGTCTTTCTCAGTTCAGTCCCCAAGCACAGGCCCTGTCACTTGCCCTCCTCCATCTAAGCTGGGATCACTGGTGGGCCCCATGACAGTCTGCACTGCAGCACTGCAAGGCCCTGGCATCTCTGCCACCAACTGCTGCCATACCATAGCCTCAGAACAGTCCTGCCTCAGTGGGCTCCCTTCCTGTGCCCAGGCCTCTCGATGTCCCCTCCCAGGACACATCAGGGACACCCTAAATGCCTGGTACACAGTACATCTGGCCAAGTCCCCCTTCAGATAAGATGCATCCATTTACACCCCCAAAGTCACTTTTTAAAGTAGAAACAAGGGAAATAACATCTGACCCAACAAACAGGGAAAGGAAAGCTTGCTGTGGACACCATGCCATGGAGGTAGGAGAGAGGGGTCAGAAGAGGAGGGAGGCAAGCCATAAGAAGGAGAGAAGTGGAGGGGAAGGTGCAGAGGGAGGCCCACAAGACGCCCTCAACTATGTCTAAGAACCCTGAAGCAGAAAGAGAGAGGACTCGGGTCAGGGTCAGGGTCAGGGTCAGGACTCAGGGTCATGCAGCAAGATGGCCTTACTCATGGAGCCAGAGCCACAGGCATGCACTGGCAAGAGCAAGCCATGTTGGTCAGCTTTCCACCACTGTGCCAGAATACTAGTCTTAAAAGGAGGAAAGGTTCATTTTGGCTCAGGTGTCAAAGTGTTCAATCCATGGTCAGTTGGCTCTATTTTTAGGGTGGGCCAGAACATCATGGCAGGGAGCATATGGTGCAGCAAAGCGGCTTCCTCACAGACAGGAAGCAAAGCAGGGGGAGGTCCCAGTATCTCTTGAAGAACACAGCCCAGGGACCCAGATTCCTTCTATCCAGTCCCACCTCCTAAGCTGCTACCACCTGCCAGTAGTAGCACCATGGTCTTGGGGGTACATCTAAGATCCAAGCCATTCCAAGGCCCAGGCTGGGACCTGCAGGTACATGGACTCGTGGACAACCGGCGGCAGCAAAGCCTCTGGAACACTGCTGCTAATGAGGGGATGGCCTGCTACCCTCTGCAGGAGCCTTCTGAAGGGGACTCTCCCAGGACCCAGTTGGGCTGAGCCAACCCTGACACACACCCAGAGCATCCTTTACCAGGCACTGGCTTTCTATTAGGCAGAAGCTTCACAAAACAATCTATCAAATAATCACCCTACATACTGAACAAGGAACTAGCTACAGGAGCCTGGGTGATGGCACTGACACCTGGGATCCTCCCACAGGCTCTGTACACCCAGACAGGAGCAACAGCGCTGGCTGTGCGGCAGCAGGTAGTGGATGCCGCCCGTCTGCAATGGCCACTGCTCTTCTCTCGGCTCTTTGAAGTCACCACACTCTCCGGTAATGGCTCTGATGGGGTGAGGCGAGTATGGGCTGGGCACCCAGGGACAGGTGCAGCCCTCACTCCGGTCTCCTGGGGCCAGGGCCCCGCCTCCCCAAGACACAGCTGATCTTGGCCATCAACTGGAAGGGGCTACATTTCCTGGACCAGCGAGGGAGGATGCTGCTGGAACTCTTCTTCCCAGAGGTCACAAGTCTGGTCACCAACAGGTGAGGGCCTCTTCCCTCTTCTCACTCTCCTCACAAACTGAGACCTGGGGAGACAGGAAAAGAGTGGTGTTGTCCCCAGAAGCTGGCTGGAGTGCAGAGACAGTCCACATGTATGGTGGCCACTGGTCCTGGGAATACTATATCACCCCCACCCCATACCAGGTCACACTGCCCATTAAGTACCATATCTGTAGTCCTGCTTTGTTTGGTTCTCCACTGTCTTAGTTACTTTTTTCATTGCTGAGACAAAAAACCCAACACTCACAAGTTAAGGGAGGAAAGGTTTATTTAGCTCACAGTTTAAGGAGGTTTTTGTCCATAATCGGCTGGCTCCAAGACAGGGTGGCATCACAGAGGGGCAGCAGTTCATGGTGGACAGAAGACAGCAAAAGCAAGCAAGCAAGCAAAAAAAAAAAAAAAAAAAAATGCAAGCAATCAAGGGACCTTAGCAGCTTCTTTCCCCCCCCCCCCCTTTTTTTTTTTTTGAGTACCAGGGATTGAACTTGGGACCTTGTGCTTGCAAGGCAAGCGGCGGAACCACTGAGCTAAATCCCCAGCCTTTCTACCCCTTTTATACTCTCTCTTGGCTGCCAGGATGAGGACGGTGCCAAGCCGATCAGTGGACTGATTTAGTAATCACACACCCTTAATCCCAGCATCACACACTCTAGATTCAGCCACCTCTGAAAAGGCCCACCTATGACCACATGAGGCTTTGTGGGGACATCTAGACCCAAACCATAGCATCCACAAAACCCAGCCCTACTGGGAAGGTGATGGAGCACAACAACTTTCCAGCATGCAAACACTTAGCAGTTTCCTTCCCTGCTTGTGGGTGAGAACTGGCTACGAAGGACAGATAGCTCATCTCTGAGAGGAGTGAGGGACCAGACAGCCTACCAAACACCAGCACCACGGTTGTCCTGGATCCTGGGACTCCTCCAAGCCTTTTGAGAAGTCCCACCATGTCCTACTGGAATGCTGCTAGGTTAAACCCCACCCCAGTGTGGCATGACTATTGTAACTGTCACCACTGTTGGGCAGCCTGGGGCACACCAGCCACCATTCACTGAGGCTGACCATGTTGAACAATTCTTGGTTCCCATGAAGTCCTCCTGGCACCGTCCATTGTGCAGATGAGGAAAGTGAGGCACAGAGCTAAGGTCGCTCGCCAGGGCTCCAGAGCTAGCTGCAGCAGAACCAGCTCCTCCTCTCAGCACTAACATTCTTTGCAGTGCCCACCCCAGAGCTAACCCAACCCTCTTGGGCCCTGAGCCCTGGTAGTCACTTGATCACCACACACAGTGGTGGCTGGCACCTGGGCCAACCTAGGCTCAGACTCTGGCCCTGCCAGTGTTCCAGAGAAGCTACCCCTTGGCTGTGACTCTGGAGGGCTGCCCTTCTGGGCTGTCGAGGTGCTAAAACAGGGGAGGCAGGGAGCACATCACACCACATCCTTCCTCCTTCCCCACAGGGAATCCCGGGGTGGCCAGAGACTGCTGCTTTCCACGCTGCATGCAGAAGAGTACGAGTTCACCACTCCCAGCAGCGTGGCAGTCGCTGAGCTGGTGGCTCTGTTCCTGGAGGGCCTGAAGGAGAGGTCCGTGTTTGCCATGGCCCTGCAGGACAGGAAGACCACAGGTGCTGCTGGGGGGCTGCCCTAGGCCCACTGGGCCCAGCTGGCCCGTCTTCACACCGAAGCAGCAATGCAGTGCAGAACGGACTCAGAAACCAACCAAGGGAGGGAGGGCCGGGTCCCCACACTTTATGGGGTGGTGTTAGCAAGGCCGTGCCTTCCATCAGCTGGTATTTCCTCTCCTGCACCCTGGAAACTGGGGGTGCCACAGGAAACGATCTCAAATCCTCCGGAGCCAGCCCTGCCTGCAGAAACACAGGCAGGGCGGATCCCCATCTGAGGCTTGAGCACCATTCCCATGTGGGGCCACTTCATCATTCCGTGGTACAGACATGCCTTGGAGAGCGAAGTAGCTCACCCAGGGTCACACCAGCCAGAGTTGGGACCAGCCACGGCAGGTGTACCAAGACCCAGGACCCGTGGCCTGTGTGGGCAAAGTGGAGGTGCAGCTCATGCAGGGATTAAGGAGAGGGGGTCAGGGATGAGGAGTGAGGGGCAGTGAAAAGCACTGCACTCACTTGGTCCTCACAGCCACCAGGAGGAGGAGCGGCTTTTACCTCCATTTCACAGAGCAGGAAATGGGCTCCCTGTGCCCACCTCACAGGCCAGGCTCCTGGGCAGGGCAGGCCTATCTCAAGGTCAGGGCTAAGTAAGAGGCTTGACTCGTTTCCAAGTGGCCTTGAACCCACACTCTGTGCCTCAGTTTCCTCATCTGCCAAGGGAGACACCCATGAAAGCCAGCATAGCCTCAGGCCCCTGCAGAGCCCTCAACAAACATCGCTTCTTTGTCCCTTTGTGTGTCCTGGACCTGCAGATGATGTCACCCTCCTGCCCTTCAAGAAGGGGGACTTGCTGGTCCTGACCAAGAAGCAAGGACTGCTGGTTTCTGAGAACTGGGCCCTGGGCCAAAATGACAGGACAGGCAAGACGGGGCTGGTGCCCATGGCGTGCCTCTACACCATCCCCACGGTGATTAAGCCCTCCAGCCAGCTGCTGGTGAGTCGCACACTCATCACTGCCCCACTGAACACAGTAGGCACAGCTGGGTGCCCGGCCTAGGGACTGCACATCAGTCTGCATCCACCTCGAAGAGACCCAGAAGCTCTGTAGGGCACAGCCCCTCTGTCTCCTAGGCTGAATGTGAAGCGAGTGTGGTGTTTGCTTGGAGCTCCAAGCTTGGCACTTAGTAGGTGCCTCACAGATGCATGCCACCACCCTCTCCTGCTGGGGTATGACCTAGGGACAAACATCCTCCCCACCCTCAGCCTTAGTTTTAAGTGACCCCATGACTCCAGTGTGCCGGAGGCCCCTTCCACCCTAAGAACCTCCCCACCTCAAATTCCAAAGCAGCCTTTCGGAAGAGCCAGGAAGAGGCAGGCCTTTTTACATGCACACACTGAGTGCCAACCGTATGCCCTGTGCCTGTAGCACGGGGATGAATTCAGCAGCTCCAGCCCTCAGGGAGCGTGCAGACAAACTGATGGCAGGATGCACAGTGCCACTGAAAAGCAACACTGGTAGTTATAGGAACAAATGTAGGGTAGGGCTTTCCCTGGTTGGGGGAGGCATCCCTGAGGGGGTGGCTCTGAGGAGAGTGCCCTAGGGAAGGGCTGTGGGGGTCCTGAGAGGCCCAGGTGGACACCCCCTGAGAATGAGACCGGCCGGGCTCCAGCCATTGGCGCCAGTGGAAAGTGATTGGGAGAGGTTGAATCCCCAGGCTGAGGTCACATGGCAGGTGAAGCAGTGGGAGGCCAAGGCCAATCCAGCCTGTGGTCTGACCTTCCCAAGTCACAGAGGCCAGGGTTGCCTATGGAAAGGGCCTCATGGGAGTGGCTGCTGGGTACCCACAGGCCTGTGCCCCTACAGAGCTTGCTGGCCATGTCGCCGGAGAGGAGGAAGTTGGCAGCCCAAGAGGGGCTGCCCTCAGATCTGCTGCCGGAGGAACAGCCCAGGGAGAAGCCACACACCCTGGAGGAGTTCTCCTACAAGTTCTTCAGGTGCCCAACCACCCCTGGGGGCTGCAAGGAGGCCATGGGGCAGGTGTGGGCCTGCCATACTTTAGGGCAAGGCAGAGCCAGCAGGGACTTGCGGCAGGACAGGATCCCTGGTGCTCCCACAGCCACCCTGGGAGGTCACACAGTGAACCGAGGACAGCACAGTCCTCACGCCAGCTTCCTTCCCTGCAGGGCCCCGGAGAAGGAGACAGTGAGCAGAGCCATGATGCCCCTGGCCCGTACCCGGGGCCACCTGTGGTCCTACTCTATGGAGCCGCTGCGGCAGCCACTACTCAAGCATGTCCATGACAAAGCTGACCTGCGAGATGTCGCCTGCCAGATCTTCCTTGATATCCTTCCCTGCCAGCTGCCCTCACTGCCCACCAGCCTCCAGCACAGGCACCACGTCCCCTCCTGGGCCCACAGCTGCCCTGTGAGGGGTCAGGCTTCACCTCACAGAGCACAAGCTGGAGCCAGTGTCAGCTCCCTGTAGGGATGCTCAGAGATCAGTGTGGGGCCAGCACTGGGGATCAGTATGGGTCAGTGTTGGGGGTCAGTGTGGGTCAAGGTCAGGGTCACCATGTAGCCCTGGTCAAGGGTCAGCCTGGGGCCCCTAGAACTGTTCTCCTTGACAGTTGCACCCATCCTCAAGTACACAGGTGACTACCCATCTCGGCAGGCCTGGCCCACCCTGCAGCTCACAGACCAGATCTTCTCACTGGCCCTGCAGGAGCCATCCCTACAGGACGAGGTCTACTGCCAAATCCTCAAGCAGCTGACACACAACTCCAACAGGTCTTCGGGGACAACAGGGCAGAGGGCCCTGCCCACTGCCCAGGGGGAAGTGGCCTCTCGTGGTTGCCGGTGGTGGGGAGGCCTGCAGCCTAGCCTGCTCTCTCAGTGTCCTGGGGACAGTCAGCACATAGAGTAGACCTGCTGCATCCTGCCTGCGCCTCCCTCTCTCTGTATGACCTAGGCGGGCTTTGGCTTCTCCAGACTGCAGGGTCCATAAAACAAGCAGAGTGGAAGCCCTCCACATCTCCAGGGTGTGACAGCCCTGTGGCATGGGCAGTGGTGGCAGGCAGGTGTCCCATGCTCCTCCCTTGGCTGGACCCCCAGACCTCCAGGCCCAAGCAGGCTCACATCACTGCTCCCGGGGCCTGCCTGGCCTGGGTCCCCAGAAGGAGCCCTTCTCACTGATGGGTGCCACCCTCCAGGCACAGTGAGGAGCGAGGCTGGCAGCTGCTGTGGCTCTGCACAGGCCTCTTCCCTCCTGGAAAGGCACTGCTGCCCCACGCCCAGAAGTTCATAGACACTCGGAGGAAGAAGCTGTTGGCTCTGGACTGTAGCCGCCGCATCCAGAGGGTCCTGAGGTGAGCCCACCGCCTCATGTCTCTGAGGATCGCCATGGGCCCCGCCCAATGCCCCAGGATGTCATGTGTCAGGGGAGACCTACAGTGGGGTGGGCTTGGCATTCTCTCCAGAAATTAGTTTCAGTTTGGGGGTGGGACCTGAGCCACTGGGGAGAGGTAGGAAGGTGAGGCCCCAGAGGGCTCCAGGAGGTCCGGGAGGCTGTGGGAGGCTTCTGGCAGGCTCAGTGGAAGGTACCCTGCCTACAGTGTCCCTGCCCCACCTCCGCCCACCCAGGGACAAAATAACTCCCTGAAGCCCAGATGCCTCAGCCCAGCCCAGGTGACCAAACCCAGAGGCCTGTCTCTCCAGTCCATGTGCCATCTCCCATCCCTACACAAGCAGAGGCTCTTCCTAGGCTGTCGGAGTCATCCCGCACATGTCTCACACCTCCTATGGCTGTGGGGAGGATGGGTGACCTGTGTGTGGTCGCATGTCTGTGGCAGCTGTCCTCATGGAGGGAGGTGGGCACTCTCAGAGAGGCCCTGCCAGAGTCCCTGCCCTGCCCACTACCATGGTGCATGAGAACAAACAGGACAGCATTGCCCACCTTCCTTCCTATGGGCATCCAGGCACCAGGCTTTCTGGGGCTGCTTCAGAACTGGGTCATCTGGGAGTCCAGACAAGCACACTTTTGTTATGGCCACCTCTGAGGCACATGTCAGTGCCACTAGGCCTGCATGTCCTGAGAAGTGTGAGGGGTGGGCACCCATCCACCCCCTACAGTAGCCACTTGGAGTTCTTCTGGCATCTGGCTTAGGGCCCCAGTAGAGGCAGGGGCAGGGGCAAAGGCAGGGGTGGCAAGGGGGGCACCTTCATTGTACACTCTCTGCTCAGGACAGGGCCCCGGAAGCAGCCCCCACATCAAGTCGAGGTGGAAGCTGCTGAGAAAAATGTCTCCCGAGTCTGCCATAAGATCTACTTCCCCAATGACACCAGCGAGGTGGGGCTCCTGGCCTGGTGTTCACAGCAGCATCCCCACCCACCCAGCCTGCTCCCTGCCCTCCACACTGTTCCCCCCCTTCCTACACCTGCCCCCAGGCTCCAGGCCAGACAGGGAGCACTGTCCTAAGGGAGCAGAGGCAGAGGGTGAGGACTGAGAGGGACTGCCAGTTCCAAAGGCAGCCAGGCCAAGGACACAGGAGAGAGGAGGCCAGAAGGATGGGCAGCAAGGTTGAATCCCAGGGTTTGGGGGTCCATCCGAGGACGATGGTGAGCAAGTGCCTGGGGTGGATATGCCCCGGGACAGAGGTGGGTGAGCAGGAGGCTTTGACTGAGAGGCAGCGAAGGACAGCAAGGCCAAGGGGACTGGGGCAGCCAGGACAGTGGTGGTGCCCTCGCACCTTCCCCAGCCTTGGGAACAGTTGAGTCCCTGTAACAGAAGTTTCCAGTCTTGTTGCAGGGTTCTCAAAGCAAGTTCCAAAGGCCAGGCCTCCTGGGAGGGTCCAAGGGACAGTGACAGCAGTGTGACCACCCAGGCGACTTTCTGGAAGGGAGGCCCACCCTTTCCAGCACAGAGCACAGCCAGCCACAAGAGTCACGCAGGAGCGCAAGCGCCAGGCTGTGAAGCCTGAGATAGCCTCCAGGAGCAGTCTGGCCCCATTCTGGCCCTGGGCCTTACCCGCTGCTCTCTGCCCAGATGCTGGAGGTGGGCACCAACAAGCGAGTGCGAGAAGTGTGCGAGCTCATCGCCACCAGGCTGCAGCTGGCCTCCTGGGAAGGCTGCAGCCTCTTCATCAAGATTGCGGATAAGGTGCGCAGTGGGCAGGCCAGGGGCTGGACAGATGCCGGTTGAGGGTCTCCCTCTGGGTGGTCTCCTGACGCCAGGGAGACTTCAGCCCATCCAGCACAGCTGTGCAGGCCCGGACCCCTCACTGCACAGCTGGGGCTGTCTAGGCAAAGAGGGTGGAGTCTCACAGCTGACCCTGACCCCATAGCATGGCCACCAGCAGTCCCGTTCTGACCCCAACTGAGCACCCTGCACCCTGGCCACCGGGCCAGGGTACATGGCTGCTGGACTCAAGCCCAAAGGGTTGTCCCTGGAAGCCACCCCACCTGCCTGCCTCTGTCCCTTCCCACTTCAGGTCATCAGCCAGAAGGAAGGAGACTTCTTCTTTGACTCCTTGAGGCAGGTGTCCGACTGGGTGAGGAGGAACAAGCCTCAGAAAGAAGGTGCGTTGGCGGGGGGGACTGTTGGACTCCTGCACATCCTTCACAGCCCCACCCCCTTCACTCACTCACCACGTGGATGTCCCTGAGTACAGAGCTGGCTGCAGCCCAGGGAGATAAAGGACCCTGGGCCCCATCCTCAGGGGAGTGTGGGAGCACCCCAGGAGGAGGTGGTCTCTACTCTAGTCTTGAAGGATGAGGAAGAGCTGGGAGCCAGGGAGGCCAAGGGTGGAGGCAATAGGAGGGCTCACAGAGAGTGGGGTGCCAGTGGGTGTGAGGCCTGAGGGACAGGCAAGGTACCCACTGCCACCCCTCCCCCAGGGACACTGGTGACGCTCCCCTACCAGGTGTACTTCATGCGGAAACTGTGGCTCAACGTGGTTCCAGGGAAGGATGTGAATGCAGACACCATACTGCATTACCACCAGGTACCTCAGGCCACTCCCACCCCAAACCACCCCTGAGCCATGGGAGAGGCAGCGGCCAGGGTGAGACCAACAATAGGTCCCATGAGGAAGGCAGGCCCAGTCCTGAGGGCTCTGGCAACAGGACCAGTGCACAGCAGTATCCAGGGACAGCGTCTCTGCTAGCACCGGTGTTATGACTGCCTATGGAGAACTGGCTTTGCCCTGAAAGCCAACCACATGTACATGGAGTAGGCATGACCTTGAGGCATGATGCCAGAGAGCCCTGTCCTCACTCCTGAGGATAGCCTGCTCAGTCTCCCCAACTGCAGGGACAACACCCCAGGCCCTGTCACCTGTGCATGAAGCTTCGGGATGGGCTGGCAGTCTGAGGCTTAGCATGTCCATTGCTCAGGAGCTGCCCAAGTACCTGCGTGGGTTCTACAAGTGTTCCCGGGAAGATGCCATCCACCTGGCTGGCCTCATTTACAAGGCCCAGTTTGACAATGACCGATCCCAGCTGGCGAGTGTCCCCAAGATCCTGAGGGATCTGGTGCCTGAAAACCTCACACGCCTGATGTCCTCCGAGGAATGGAGAAAGGTCCTAGGGGAACTGGGGAGGGTGCCTCAGGCCACTGCCCCCACCAGTACCCAGCCCGGTGCCAGGCACAAGGGCACACTGCTAGGCGTGGGAGGTGGGCTGCGTACTCCACACTTCTCTTCACCACATCCACACCCCTGCTCCTTGCTCACAGACTGACCAGTGGCAGGTGGGGCCCCCTGGGGTGGCCGGTCTCCAGAGAGTGCCCTTCTGCCCTAGGTAGGCAGGGCAGCCCCAGGCAGGCCCTCATGACTCCTCCTTCCCCAGAGCCTCCTTCTTGAGTTCGATAAGCACCAGGACAAGACAGTACAGGAGGCCAAAGTGGACTTCCTCAAGTGGATCTGCCGCTGGCCCACCTTTGGGTCTGCCTTCTTCGAGGTGAAGGTAGGCCTCACCCTGCAGGGTCACTCACTCTGGCCCCAGGTGCACCCCAGGGTGGAGCAGGCCACCAGGCTTCTTGGGAGGGGCATGTGCTGCATGCATCTCAGATAGGCGTGTGGAAGGTGGCCATCTGGGAGATGCCACTTGGTCCAGACTAGGCTGTGACCACTGCACCCCTACCTCCAGCAAGCCTCGGAGCCCTCCTATCCAGATATTGTCCTCGTGGCCATCAACCGACATGGTGTGCTGCTCATCCACCCCAAGACCAAGGTAGAGCCGAGGCCCAGGGCAGGGCTGGCCCAAGACCCCTGCAGCAGGCTGTGGCACAGCTCCTGCACTTCCCCCTTGCCCTCCTGCACTTCCCCCTTGCCCTCCTGTCCCCAGTGTGGCAGCCTGCAGGCTCTGCTCCCTGCCCACCTGCCCTCTGCCTTCTGCCCCCAGGAGCTGCTCACCACCTACCCCTTCACCAAGATCTCCAGCTGGAGCAGTGGCAGCACCTACTTCCACATGGTGCTGGGGAGCCTGGGCCGCGGCAGCCGTCTGCTGTGCGAGACCTCGCTGGTGAGTCCATCTCTGCCCACAGGCAGGCGAGGGCTGGCCCGGGGCTGCCTGCCCATGTCCCTCTCTGCCATCCTGGGCATTTCTCACTTTGAGAGATGGATGGCCCAGGGACCAGACTGGGCTGGCAGAGGCTCGGAGAAGGCGGGGAGGGCTCTGAGGAGTGGGGAGGGCCCGGCAGCAGGGCTGGCACCACTGGAACCCTCCTCCCTCTTCTCTGCACCCACCCCACAGCATGGGCTGCAGCATAGACACCGATGTCCCAGGTCCCTGACCCCACCTGTCCTCCCTGCATCATAGCCTCTGACCCCACCCTCCTGTCCAGGGCTACAAGATGGATGACCTGCTGACCTCCTACGTACAGCAGCTCCTGAGTGTGGTGAACAAGCATCGAGGCTCCCGTGCCGCCCCCCTGGCCACCCCCTAGGAGTAGGTGGATCCTAGCTGCCCACTTAGTCACCTTCCTCGTCTGGGTCTCGCCAGCTCAGGGCCTGGCCTCTGCATGTAGCCTTCCAGCCCACCCTCTCCCAGCACACACCCCTGTCCTGAGTGCTGGCCACAGGGGCTGAAGGAGGTGTCAGGCCTCCAGGATGATGATGATGGCTCCCCTGAATCTTCAATAAAACCCACAGGGTGTGGAAGTGTGTCAGTGAGGGACAGGGTGGGCACCAGGTGTGTGGCGGGCCTAGGAGGCCCTGGTCCCTAGAGGGTTTTCTCCAGGCAAACAGGTGACAACTGCATTCTCCAGGAGGGACTTCACTTTGCTTGTCTCCTTCTTCCCTCCTTGCCCCTTTCTCCTTCCCTCTCTCCCTCCTTCTCTCCCTTCTTCCTTCTCTCCTCCCTTTCCCTCCCTTCCTATCCCTCTCTCCTTCCTCCCTCCTTCTTTCCTGTTCTCAGACTGTGGAGAGGGTGCTCACTGGAGATTCCTGCCCCGAGGCCCTCTATATTCTTTTCCTCCCCAGAGGCACAGGAATGGGTGCCAATCCTGAGGGGCAGTGTGGAGGGGCTCGAGGGCCTTGCTTGCTCTTGGGCTGCTGGCTTCCTCTAAGGCAGCAAAGGATAGGGCAGGATATGGGGCCCTGCAGCCTGGGCTCCCCACCTCATGACAGGCCCCACCCCCAGACCAGCCACCAGAGACTGCAAATTGCTCTCCGGCCTGCTGTCTGGACTTTTCTCTGCCCATTCAGCAAGCTCAGCCCCAGAGCCCACACAGCAACGTCCCCGATGCTGCCCCCACAGAGGATACAGACTGCTGCTGGTGGTTGATCAGGCTTCATTGTGTGAATGTGAGCCTCTAGCCAGGTGTTTGCTGGCCACTACGTGACCTTGAAGTGGGCAAGAGCCACCTGACCCCACCACTCCAGCTCTGCCCAGAGGTTCAGTGTGGCCTGAGGTGCAGCAGAGAGGAAGTGCAGTAGACCTGGGGCGCCACAGTGGATGTTGGGCTCTGAGGGGTGGAGGGAACAGCCCTTGTCCCTCCAGCTGACTCACGAGTTGGGGTGGCAGGACTTGCTGGCCAATGTGGGGACAGGGATCTGAGTGGCTGAGTGGCTGAGTGCTGAGGGTGTCCCAGAGGCCTCCACCTGCTTGGGCTGGGCTGCCAGGTGCATACAAGGGGGCCACATTGCTCCCCAGGACAGTGGGTGCCACTAGGGCCCACGGCAAGGACAGGTCAGCCGGGTGGGCAGGCAGCTATGCTCCAAGAGGGGAGCGGGCAACCCCAGCCTTGATTTGCTCCTGTCCCTGGAGCTCGTGGGGACAGGCAAAGTGGCGGTCAGGTGTGGGCCAGCCTCCACACAGACAGGAAGACAGGAGCTGCCAAAGGGGAAGGAAGATGACGCAGAGGGCACAGACATGGAGTGGAGAGGAGAGACAGGGAGCAACAAGAATGAGCAGGAAACAGAAGTGGGAGGCGCTGGGGAAGGAGGCCACTGGGCAGCTAGGAGGGCAGGAGCCTTTAGGTGGAGTTCACGTCCACAGCCGTGGGATGGGCCTTGCGGGAGGTGAGGTCCACCAGCTTCTTCAGCCGCTTCTTCAGCTCCAGTGGGAACTTCTCATAGCACTTCTTACACACGGGTTTCATGTCAAACTCCACAAACTTGTTCCTGTGGATGAATAGCAGTCTGTGCCCCAGAGACCCTGACCCCCGATGGTGCCCTGGAGCCAGAGGAGCAGACTCCTTCTGCCGCCCCACCCTAGGCTGCCCCCAGTCAGCATCCCAGACAACCCTTCTTTCTTATGAGCTTCTCTCAGGTTCTGATGCTCCAGAATCTTCTATGGCTCCCTGCTGCCCTTGAAAGCCCAGGTCCTACCTCATCTCTTACAGCTCCCCGCCCCCCAGACAGCCCAATGTCTGACATACTTCCTTTGCACCTGATGTTCCCTGGGCTGGGATGTCCTTCCCTCCCTCAAGCCAGAGTCCCTGCAGGTGTGTTACCACCCCTCTTTGTGCCCTGTGTCCCTAGGCCTGCCCTCATCTGCCTGGGCTGCATCTCCAGGGCTGACCACAGAGGAAGGTGGCTGAGGAAAGGGGGGCTACGAGGAGCCCCTGCCCTTGCTCCCAGCGAGAGGTGGCGACTCACTTCAGGGTGAGCTTGCTGTTGCAGGTGGAGCAGGAGAAGCAGTTCACACACCAGGCCTTGTTGAGGGCCGACACCACTGTGAGGGGAAAGGCAGCTTAGCAACCCTGCACAGGCACAGCTGTGTGAAGCCAAGGCCAGCTGGGCCCGCAGCTGCAGAGCAGGGGTGGGGGTGGGGGAGGGGGCTCACCATCACCCTCAATCACGTGGCTGCAGTTGTAGCAGACGTCTCCGAAGAGCTGTGAACAGAGCAACCTGTCAGTGCAGCTGCCGCTTCACGCCCAGCCCGGGTCCCTACACTCTTCCTCTGGGTGGCCCTGAGCCACTCCTCTGGGCACAACTTCAGCCTGTCAGAATGACCCTGGGAAGCCCCCAGGCTGAGGCATTGCTCCCCACAGCTGTTCCCACTAGTGTCCTGTGAGCGTGGGGTTCGGGAAGTGGCTCCATCCTGCAGCCTCCTCCACCTTCTGTACCAGAGCAGCGGGATGAGGGGAGGCTGGCAATATCACCCCACAAGCCCAGACTTCACACTGTCATCTGTTCCATCCTTACAACAGGTCTGGGCCAAAGGGTGCATTTCCAAATGAGGTTTTGGAGCCTGAGGCGAGACATCTCAGGCGCCTGAGCCAAGACCTAGGGCCTGGGCACAGATGGCCCACCTTCCTCCCAGCCACCCTCAGTCCACATGCCCACTGCCTGCCCTGGCCCACCTGGTTGTAGTGGGTCTCACAGTAGGCCAGGCCCTTTTTCTCATAGTGCCGGTGTCCCAGGAAGGGCTTCTCACACTTGGCGCAGACGAAGTGCTGGGGGGAGAAGGTAGTCAGGGAGCTGTCCAGGCCAAGCAGGAACCCCAGGAGCCAGGAAGCAGAGGGTGGGCAGATTCACAGCTGGCAGAGGGGCTGCCATCTCTGTGGATGCCCAGGGCCTTAAAAGACCCTGGTCCCCCTCAACAGCATCCATGATAACATCCTATGTCACTGTCCTCTCCTGGCCTGCTCCCCCTCAGCAACCTTAGCACAAGGCACCACGTACCTGTGGGGGCACTCTCACAGGTGGGAGCTGCCTTGCTGTCAATAGGATGTCCCCTCCAGTGTCCCCCATAGCCCAGGTCACCAGAAGCGTATGAGTTCTGTATGTGAGGACTCACCCTCCCCTGGGGTCAGGGACAGGCACCATGGACCATGGCCTCTTGAAGGGCCTTCTCAAACAGGCCACCAAAGCACAGCTTCTGGACACAGGTGGCCAGGCCCCTGGGGAATACAAACCTCCTTGCCAAGTATGTAAGGGCATTAGTACTCTCAGTCTGGGGAAAGCTCCAGGTGACCCGGCTCCCCACCTGAGGAGCCGGCCAGCTCCAGGTCTACAGAAGGCCCTGTGCATAGCAGTCCGCTAACCACAGCCCTCCAGGTTTCTTCCTGACTGAAATCTTCTAGAATCTTCCCATGAAGGCAAAGGTGGGGTTTTCTGCCCAACTGTGGCTTGTGGGCTCTGGTCTCCCAGTTCCCATGGATGGGCCGAGGTCCCAGGAGAGACAGCACCCACAGGCAGGTCCTTGCCGGAGCCAGGGCACTGCTTAGGCTGAGGTGTGACAGAGGGGGCTAGAAACCAGGGCACCCTCACCTGAAGCCCTGCACCCCTACCCAGCTCACCTCCACATGCCACTGCTTGCCCAACGCGTTGACCACACGGCCCTCAATGGGCCGGCGGCATGCCCCACAGATGGGGACACCCATCTTGTCATGGCAAGGCAGGCAGTAGAGCTCACCCTTCAGCTCCCGGGCCTCAGCGGTCAGCTCCTTTCTGGAAGACAGCAGGAGCCCCCAAGTGCCACCCTGCCCTTCTACAGGGTCACCCCAGCCCCTCCAGCCCAAGGGCCCCAGGCTCTGAGAGGCCCCACTCAGGCAAACAGGCAGCTCACTCTGATCTCCGGCCTCTTTAGAGACTTCCTGTGTGTGCCCAGACAGGCCCTGGAGCAGAGACTTCCTGCACAGGCCCGGCAGAAGGGCGCCTGTGTTCTGTCCCCCAAGCCCTCTGAGAAGCAGGTCTGTTCTCAGGCCACCTCCTCCTCCAAACCAGACTGGGTGTCTGGGACAGGCATGAAAGGGACCCAAGGGGACAGCTCTCCATCTTCCTTCCCACTCCCTTCTCCAACACCAGCTTGAACCTCACTCCCTCTACCCCTTCCTCTCCACTTCATCTCAGCTGGCGTCCTTGCAGTCTGTCCTCCCGAAAAGCTCTGCAGAAAGGAGCTTCCTGCTGTGGCCCATTCTAGCCCCACTCCATCTCTGCCTGGTGGCTCTGTGCTCAGCTCTCTGGAAACCCTCTGCCCACCTGGCTCACCTCTCCTGGCACATCATTGCCCCTGCTCTGTGACGGTCCTGGCCCTCCACCTGCCCAACTGGAGGGTCAGGGCTGGGTACCTACCCACAGTGGGTGCAGCTGAAGTGGTCTGGGTGGTAGGCGTCGTTCCTGAACATGAGGGGCTGCTCATCAATGACCAGATGGCACCGCTGACAGATGTACTTGCCCAAGCCCTTTGCCTTCTCACGGCTGTGGCAAGGCCGGCAGAGGTGCCTGCAGGAGGCAAAGGCTGTGTTAGGGACAGGCTGCCACATCCTGTGCCTCCTCCCAAGACAGCCCAGGTCACTTCCAGGAGAAGAGAGCCAGGACCCTGCCTGTGGCCTTGGCAAGAGCCTGGTGCTTCAAAGGGGCTCAGCCCAGAGTGTAGAAAAGTTAGCTGCCTGACCACAAGGCCAGGAGGGCCAGAAGTACTCCATCTATGAGGTATAATCAACAAATACAGCAAGTATTCAAATTTAAAATATTTTATTACAGTAAAAGACACATAGCCATTAATCCCCCTCAAAATGCTCCCCCTGGCTTCTGACACACTTATCCGATTGTTCTTGCCCACTTTCTGAAGCAGTTGTGGAAGTCCCCTTTCAGGAGTGCCTTTTGTGGCACCATCGTGGCTGCACTGATGTAGCAAACCAATTCAGAACATTTCTCTTTCATGGTCATTTTGACTTTGGGGAAGAGCCCAAAGTCACATGGTGCTGGACTGAGTGAACAGGGTGGATAAGGATGCGCTGTAATGTCTATGAGCCTGCCTTTCTGTTAGATGGCACTCGGCAGCAGCTCTGACCGTATTTTTGACCACATCTCATAAAGACACAAAAGAGGACATCCAGAACTGCTTTAGAAAGTGGCAAGAACAATAGAAAAAGTGTGTTTGAAGCAAGGGGGAAGATTTTGAGGGAGATTCATGTGTCTTTTACTGTGACAAATTTTTTTCTTAAATTTATTTTTTAAAATTAGTTTTATTGGTACATTTTAGGTATACAATACAATGATGTTCATCATTGGAAATTTGCACCTTTACATAATCCCTCTTGATTCTTATTTTTTCCCCATTCCCTGCTCAACCTTCAACCCCTCCATCCCTCCCTATTTACAAAGACTTTGTTTCCATTTTTTCATTTTCTCATATTAATTCCATTCCCTTCTTTCCTTTCTCCTACCTCTCCCACTTTCCCTTCCCCTTTGCCCTTTTATTCTTATTTCACATTATCTATTATACCTTTTAGTCCTTATTTACACTTTCAGTTTCTCACACTAGAGAAACAATTTGGTATTTACACGTGTGTCCTATTTATTTCACTTAAGAGTATCGCCTCAACATGCATCCATTTAGCTATAAATGTCCCTAGTTTCTCGTTCTTTATGGCTGAGTAGTACTCCATTTTATTTAAAAAACCCACATCTTCTTTATCCAGTTTCCAGTTGATGGGCATTTGGGTTGTTTCCAACCTTTAGCTATTACAAACTGTGTCGCTATAAACATGGGTGCACATATATTGCTGTGGTAAGATTCTTTTAATTCTTTGGGGAAGATCCCCGCAGTGGAATAGCAGGGTCAAATGGGACTTCCAGTCCTAGTTCTTTGAGGTATCTCCATATTGATTTCCACAGTGGTTGCACCAGTCTACACTCCCATCAGCAGTGGAGCAGTGTTCCTCTTTCCCCACAGCCCTGCCAGCATTTGTTATTGGTTGATTTCATGATAGCAGCCATTCCTTCTGGGGTGAGGTGGAATCTCAGCATTGTTTTCATTTGCATTTCTCGAATGACCTGTGATATTGAACATTTTTTCATATGTTTATTTGCTATTTCTACTTCTTTGTGTGAAAAATGTCTGTTCATTTCAGATGCCCATTTTTGGATTGGGTCTTTAAATTTGGGAGGTCTGATCTTTTTAAGTTCTTTATAGATTCGAGATAGTAGACCTTTGTCTGAGGAACAGTGGGTGAAAATTTTTTCCCACATTGTGGGTTGTCTCTTCACACTGCTGGTGGTTTCTCTTGCTGTGCAGAAGCTTTTTAGTAAGAAGAGATCCCACTTGTTGATTGTTTGTGCTAGTTCATGGGCAACTGAGGTTCTGACAAATTTTTTAAAAAAATTAAACATTCACCATATATTTTCAGCACATCTTGTCAAAGTAGGGCCGCTTATGCTCAGGGAGACTGGAATATACCAGAATGTTCATGGTTGCTATCTTTAGATGATATATTTCCTCTTTCTACTTTTGCTGAGCCTTGGCTATTGTGTGGAATAGAACAGACATTTAGTTGACATTTTCTGAAAAATCAGTTTTATTTCTCAAATGTCTTTTAACACAATGAGCGCTAGTGAATATGAGCCTGGGAACCCCACCATGCCCAGCAGAACAATGAGCGCAGGGCCATGCAGCCCACTCACCCCTTCCTTTGGGGTCTGCCAGATGAAGAGGGCTCTAACACGTACAGGCACTTTCTGTCCCCAGACACAAGCATGGCTGTCAGACGGAGGCCCCAGACCAGCGTCTTTTTTTGTAAAGGCAGTAGTCATTTCTGATGCTACTCCTTGCACTAGGCAACAGCTGTGGTCTTAACTGAGACAAACATCAACACTGTTTCTGTTTCCTGGCTTTCAAAGGTGGCAAGAATTTAGACTCAGAGTCCCCTGGCAAAGATGAACAAGACCCTGATCCAGCAGCCCTGGGCCCTGATTCCCACCCGCCACTCCAATCTCATGTGCTCCAGATGTAGCCAAACTCTCCCTTCCTGGGCCCCCAATCCAGGGGCTGCCCTTTACCGGCCTCCACAATGACCTGACCACAGGCCTCTTTAAAAGGAGTTCACACAAGAGACCAACACCTCTTAAGACCTCCAACCAGCGATGGCGGGCAGACTAGATGTCAGGGCACCACCTCAGAATCCCCAACCCGGCCCTGCCCATCTCTCTGTCCTTCCAGTCCACAGAGCACTGTTCTCTTGCCCTGGCATCTCATCTTCCCTGCAGGTGTGTGATGCAAGGGAGCCATCTGCTGACTGGTCACTGTGCCCCCTCCAAACTCCGGGTGCCCAGCACAGGGCAGTGGCTTCAAACCACTGTGCTGAGTATGTGAGTGAGTGCATGATGGTGCAAGAGAGGAAGGACAGTGAGCCTCACCTCATTGTGACAATGGCCTGTTGGCCCCTACCCCAGAGTGGGCAGCAGAGGTGGCTATAGCTGTGGCCTTCATCACCACATCCCTGGAGCACAACCTGCCCAAACACCTGTGCCCTGGTGCCCACCCAGCCCACTGCATGGCAGCCCAGGGAATGGCACCCACTGTGGCCAACCCACTCTTCCTCCTATGCCTCTGTCACAGTCGTGCATGGCTTTATTCCCCACCACACTCCCAATTTTGGTGACTCTTCTTTGCATGAAGACATTCTGGAGCCATTATAGAATAACTTTTGGGGAGCCTGACTCCCCAAAATTCTATTGCAATGGTTTTTTTCCCTTGAAGCTACTGTCAGTGGTCATTTCAATTACAGAAAATTGGCTGGAGTTTAGCTCAATGGTACCACCGCACTAAAAAGAAAAAAAAAGGAAGAAGGGAAGAGAGGACAGGGAAAGTTGGGAGACAGACAGGGAAAGTTAGAGGGGCTCAGTGAGGTTTCTGGCAAATAAAGAGTTAAACCCCTGCCAGAGAGAGAGTAGCTAAGAAAAACAGAGAGAGCTGATAAGGGCCCTGGCTGCCTGGCCTGGCTGCTTCATGCCAAGGCTCAGTTCCCTCCTCCCTCCACCTCCAGTTAAGCACAAAAGAAACAGGGGGCTAGACTGTATAAAATACACACCACCTGGACACTCACACACCTATATATAAGTACATAGGTATTTTATCATTCTCTCACCATATTAATAAACTAAAATGCACACATAGCCCTTTCACTAATTCGGCCCTGAGTGTAACTCTGCTATAAATCTCACAAGAACCTGGACAGCACACAGAGACCATAGAAGTGCTTATCCAAGAACGTACATGTAGGCAATGGAAGGGGCAATGGCCAAATCAGGGGTCTCAGAGCCCAGAACACCCCATCATGTTGTAGCAACCTCAAGGGGGAGTCCCTGTCTTACCGTGGAATCGGAGAGACTAAGAATAAAAACCTCTGAGTGTGGGCTTGGGGCTCTCTGCCTTACTCCGATAAGATAGCAAGCTGTAAGGTAGCAAGCTATCTATCTCCTTATTTTCTCCCTTTTCCAATAAAGTGATTTTGTTTCTTCTTTGTTTCTTTGTTTCTTCTTCTAAAACTTATATCTCTCCCATAGCAGCAGAAGCAGCCAAAGAGCTCTCACAGACATCTCAGCCCCCTTAAAGGGAAGAGCCTCTGGAGCTCTCTGCACTTGAGACATGGCACACTCATCGTCACGGAACACAAGAGGGGTTACTAAGGCTCTGGTCCAGTTTCCCAAAAAGAGAAAGACTCATCAGAGATACTGTCCTAAACCCCTTCGAAAGTAACTGTGGATAAATCCCAATGGTAGAGGCCAGGGAGGGAATTCAAGGCTGCACTTGGACTTCCTGATGGAGTGGAAGACGTCCTGTCTCAGCTTTGCAGAGCAGAAAGGGAGATGTCTAGGCAGAAACCTGCAGTAGGGCAGGCTGGGGCCTAGCCAGGCTTCTTCCCCCATTTTAACCTTAGAATTGAGGGAGATTTTGCCAGGGGACGCCCAAAGGTAAAGAGACCCTCACACTCAGTCTTTCTCTTTCTATACATGGGGACTGAACAATCAGTCATTCCACCACGTTCACCCCTGGAGAGAGCTGGACCCCCAAAGTTTGAGGGGAAAAAAAGCCCTTATACTGGAGTAGGGCTTAGCCAGGGTACCCATTAGGAGACCAAGCAAGGCGGCCAAGTTGGGGGAAGGGTAGAAATTACAATACCATGCATCAATTAGATCTATTTTTGCAAAAAGGAAGGAAATAGGGTAAGTGGCTTATGTCTAGTTAGTTTTTTTATCTCAGAAATCACCCTGAATGAATGTCTCAGCATTCCATTGACTCTCCTTCATTAGCTTCTTTGGGACCAATCCCCTGCCCTTGTCCCAGTGGGGCCCCAACAGGAAAAACCAAAACCCAGAAAGTCTTCTGGATAGGGGATCCACAGCCCCGTATCCTAGAGTCAGGCCCCACACCCCAGCTGCTAACCCAATGCCTCTCCATTCCAGTCACAGAGGACAGGCTGAGCCCACCCTATTCACTTATGCTGAGCTAGGAGAAGTTTCACAGATGATCCTGATAATATGTCCAAGCCTTTGAGAGAGTCGCCTCTTTTCAGACTCGCTTGGGATGACAGGATGTTTCAGTGAGACAATAAAGTCAGGAGAAAGAGAGGATTCTGAGAGCTGAGTGAGGACAGGAAACACCCATCACGGTAAATGAGGCAAATGAAGATGAGGAGGAGGTGTGTGCCTCTGTGGGAAAGGCTTGTCCCCCTGCCAAGCCCCGCTAGGCGAAGGAAGGACTAATATCACCTAAAGTCAAGCTGATAAACTATGAACCCTCATCAGTATTTTTACAAAGGTTCAGAGATGCTACGACCAAACATGCCCTCAAAAGCCCCAGTAGTAATGCAGGAGAAGTTGTCCTCACGGACAGATTCATCTCCCAGTCTGCTCCTGACATTCACCAGGAACTCTTTTATCTGATACCTGATCCTGACAGAGAAAGTGTAGGACTGGATGATTATCTCTGAGAGGCTACAGAGGTCCTTTACAATAGCAACTGGGAAATTCAACAGATAGGAAAAAGAGACAGGAGAATTAGCTGCTGCTTTCTAGGGCTGCCCAATTAGCAAGTCCAAACTTTGCAATAGTTGTAAAAAGCTAAGACATTTTAAAAAGGATTGCCCCAACAGGAGGAAGCCCAACAAAAAAGACCTCAGGTAAGCTTCCCAGCAGCCCCTGTCTCGCCTGCCAGAGAGATCACTGGAAAAACCAATGCCCCTCTGAACCAAGAAAACCCCCAATGAAGGTCCTTGGGGCTTCATATTCCTTTCATTCCTGTTCACACAGTGGAGTCCTGAGTTTACCTCATTGGAAGGAGCAGACTCATAATTGTTTTAGTGGACACTGTCACCCAGTTTTCTGTTCTTGCATTCTCCCCTGGACCATGCTCTACACAACTACCATTCAAGGCATCTCGAGACTCCCAGAGGAAAGAGTCTTCTCTAAGATACAGAAATTCTAAAAACCCCAATTACAATGAGTGAAATTGAAAATGTAACAAAATATTTACCAACAAAGAAAAGCCCAGGTCCGGATGGCTTCACTGCTGAATTTTACAAGACATTTAAAGAAGAACTAATGCCATTACTCTTTAAACTCATCAAGGAAATTGAAAGGGAAGCAATACTTTCAAATTCATTCCTG